AATTGTGTTCTTAACAACTTTACAGATTCTTTGATGCTTTCATCAGAAGGATTTAAGATCAAAGACTTTTCTTTTAATTTAATTTCATCTTCCAATTCTTTACGTTTCTGAATCTGCTTTTGCTTATGAGTTTATTCATTTTTATCAAGATCCCACGCATAAATGCTTTACCTGCATCCCATACCATTGACATTGAAGTCCCCTTATACATATTTAAAGCAAAATAATCCTTTAAACACTCCTTTAACTTTTGAACATTCTTTTCTTGTCTGAATAGGTTTTCATTCACCCTCCAGGATCTTCTTTCCTCTTTTTCTTGAATCAGCTCCATCCAAACTGGACTATGATCCGTCAACGACCTAGGAAAAATCTTTACATTCTTTACTCTATTATATAAGTCCGTTGTAATAAAAAAAAAGTCAATTCTTGAGAAGGATTGGTGTCTATCTGAAAAAAAAGTGAAATCTCTCTCCTCTTGATTACATTCCCGCCAATAATCCCTTAGTTCCCAGTCCTCTTTCATGTCAAAAAAGGCTTTAGGTAATTTTGCCTGTTTAAAAAAAGGAAAAGAACCTTTCTTATCCCTTTGTATATCTAAGACACCGTTCCAATCACCCATTAGTACCACGGATCTATAGTCCAACAAAGTTATTTTTTGATGTAACAACCTATAAAATTGTTCCTGTTGCTGATTTGGTGCATAAAGTCCCACTATAAGTACTTTCTTACCATATAAGCCAAGTTCAATCATCACATATCTTCCTTGGGGATCTGATTCTACCAGACAAGCTGGTAAATTTTGCTTCACATAGATAACAACTCCCCCCTTTTTCCCAGGAGCAGAAGATACAAAATGAGATCCCAGACGAGCATTAACTAAATATTTCTGATCCTTAAGTAAAATATGAGTTTCCTGTAAACAAATAACATCATTATTATGTTGCTTCAAATAGTAAAAGATTTTTTTCCTTTTCTGAGGAGAATTCAATCCATTAACATTCCAGGTCAGAAACTTTGCCATCTTCCTTGGCCAGGAGCCCGGAGAAGACTCCTTCGAGATCTGCCATTGCTGCATGTGTTGCAGAACTCTTGGGTCTTGCTCCTCCCACCGGCGATGAAACACTTTCAGAAGAAGATTCTTTGGCCTCTTTCTTGCGTTGCTCCTTCTCCTTACGTCTATAAGCTGCACGGGTCATTCTCTGCTCTTTAACCTCCGTTTGACGTTGCCATTCAGCTTGCAGCATCCCAGCAGAGACCAGACCTAATGCCTCAGATTGCTGCCCCAGCTCTTTGCCACTCAAGGATTTCTGAACAGATGAAGCTGAGCCTGCACCCAGGACCGTATTATAAAACTCTCTAGCTTTATCAACCGTATTCAATCTATAACGCGTCCCCGCATGGCTCAGAACAATACCCATCGGGATCTCCCATCTAAATGGCATCGATCTGGCTTTAAGCTCATTAACTAGAAAAGAAAAATCTTTCCTATTTCTTAAGATTTTGGATGGGATTTCCTTTAAAATAATAATATCTTGGGAAGCAATCTGGAATCTCTTATTATAAAAGGCTTGTACAATTTCATTGCGCAGAGACTTCTTTGTAAAATAAATCACCACATCTCTAGGCAAATTCTTCTGCTTCGCAATCCAAGAGTTGACTCTATAAATTTTTTCCACTTCTCTGCGTAATTCTCCTTTATCCATATTCAGAGCAATAGCTAAGTCAGTAAGCACCATCTCCATCAGGTCTTGATTCATGTCTTCCTTAAGGCCTCTAATCCTCAAGGCATACTCCATCTGTCTGTACTGAAACATAAGAATATCTTCTTGTGAAGTCTCCACCTTCCTTTTCACATCTTGAAATTTCACATCAAAAGAATCAACTTTATCTTCCACTTCCTCTAGTCTCGAATCCAGCTTCACCACCACCGTAGCCAAGCCTGATACAGCTGCAACTATATCTTGCCGCAAGATGGTATTATTATCTTCTAATAAGTTCTTTATCCCATTTATCTCTTCTTTAATTTCAGATTTAATCTGTATGACAAATTGCTTCATTTCATCTCTCATTTGAAACATAGCATCTCCCATTATGCCTTTAATCTCTTGTACTGACAGACCTGGCAAAGGAGGGGAGGGTGGTGGCTGAGTCGGTGGTACATGTTTAGATTGTTGTTGTGATTGTGCAGTAAGAGTTATAGGAGAAGAGACCACCTTAGATGTTATAGAAGGCGGCTGTCTCTTTGAAGCCATTTTATATGACACAGTTCTCACTTCCCTTCTCCCCAAATAAAGGGGAGGGGGAAGAAAAAAAAAGATTTTTTTTTAAAAAGACAGCAAAAGCACTATAATCCTTAAAAATCCAAGGAAAAAAGAGAAAAAAAAATCAAAAGAGAAATCCAGTACCAGAAACAAAAAAAAACCAAAAGCAAAATCATTAAAGTCCAGTTCTTTAAAAACAAAAAAGAAACAAAGGGGAAAAAAAACTCCGACACTTTCAAAACGCCATCTTATTTCCTCTCTCCGTATCAACAAAAGAAAGAACAAAGGAGAGATAACCAAAACTAAATAAAAGAAAAAAATAAAACCCTAAACTATATAAAAGAATCCTTTATGCCGCTCTGTCCGTTTTTAAAAATTACTCACCAGGACGCTATATTCACGGAGATAGAGGCGGCGGTTTCTTTTGCTTCCAAGAAGCAAAAACAGCTGGGAGGCGGAGATCAGCAGGAGCTCCGAGGGAACACTCCTTTCAGCCCCTCTAGGAATGAATCCAGAGGGGGTTCAGGGGTTCTACCTCTACTCCTGCGTTCTCTATCCCTTCCCTTTGCCCGGGAAGGGAATTCCGAACCGCGGGCCAGCTGATACGCGCTGCGCTCCGCGATTCTGACACCTTCCCAGCTGGACGGCTACAAGGTAGCCGCCATCGCCGTCGCCCTGTACCGGAAGCTAAACTTGGGGACTTCTGATCTAAGCATCCCAATCCAGTATTTGTGTCAGATAGTCACTTCCAGTTCATATAATCCTCTTCCTCATTGCTGTCCCCTTCCTCATCTGGCATGGTTGGAGGGGGACTGTGTATAGGTCACTGGACCCCTCCTTGTCAGATGACGTTCCACAGGTGGTAGTATAGGCTGCTAGGGAACTCGTACTGCCTCATTGAGAGGTAAGAGATGATTTTGGTGCCACATCTGCAGTGGCCCATTCTCCCATTTGGGCATATCTGGTACACCGGCAGCCTAGCCAGTTTCTCACAATGTAGAGCTGGGGAACTCTACCAATCAGCTTGTTTATGCATGCCCAGATTCTTCAGCAACACTCAATTGCCTGGCTGCAATTCCTGAATTCATATCTGTACAAATAGTCTTTCCACTTATCAACCGCTGCTCAGTTCAATGCCAAGAATTCTAGTTGACTGGGGAGAGGCCCCTGCTGACATAGGCAACTAGCCTCAAATATCCATCATGTTCTTGATACAATACCCCTTCAAGGCCATCAAGGCTAACATTGACATGTAACTTATAGAGCCAGTTTGGGTCTGCAAAAGCCAAAACAGGGGCATAGGTCAGGCTTTTGTTGGTCGAAGGCCAGATCACACTACTCTATCTGCTCGAATTGAGTCCAGGTACTTCCTGGGTCCCTTATCCTGCGTCACGGTTTGGTGGCAGCAGTACCTCAGATAGAAAGTCCATACAGAGAATGGTAAGGACAGCCGAGATCATAGAAAGCTCGCTCCCTGGTATTCAGGATGCTGCTTATAAGTGCCATGTGCTAAGAGCTCAAAGCATTGTTAGAGACCCCACACATCCACTTTATGGTCCGTTTCTATTGCTCTCCTCTGGGAGGAGGTTTCAAAGTATTTCTAGCAGGACTACCAGATTCTGTAATATCTTTGTTCCCCACGCCAGCCATCTGTTAAATTCTGAAGATTAGTTTTTCTCGCCATGCATACATATATATGCATAGCGAGAAAAACTAATATAACCCAAACAAGACAGTTGTTTCTCTGTGTCATATAGTATATGTGAGTACATGCATAATTCTGTATTTATTTATTTTTGTCATATTTATGTACAGTGTTTTTTTTGTAAAAAAAAAAAAAAGTGCCAGAACTCACACCCAGCTCCAGTCGAAAGCCCTTTATGGAGCAGTGGGTGAAGCAGCCTTAGGGAGCAATTTTGCGGGCCCTCCCAGTGGACAGATCCGGGCTCCGGAGGCCTGGAAAAGGCCTCAAGATCCTAGATCGTGCCTCAGGGGAGCTGTAAAATTGCTTCGTGGCCATGGATCTGGGCTCCAGAGGCTTGGAAAGGGCCTCCGGAGCCTGGATCGGCCATGGGAGTGGGGATGCAAAATCGCTCTGCGGCCATGGATCCAGCCTCTAGAGGCTTGAAAAAGGCTTTCGGAGCCTGAATCAGGCTGTCGGGGGGGGGGGGGGTCCACAAAATCGCTCTGCAAGTATTCCTGGACTCGCACTGGCAGCTTAGAAAGAACCGGTCTCTGGTTCAAAAAAAGGTGCTGAAATGCTGCTCCATTTATACGTTCTAGGACAAAAAAGCCCTGCTTATGTAGTGTATATCGCAGGTGGTAACCCTTTGAAAGCTGAATCCAACGAAATTTCATTTTAATGTATGCCAATTAGTGTACATTCAAAGTGACAATAAAGTTATTATTCTATTCTATTCTATTCTATTCTATTCTATTCTATTCTATTCTATTCTATTCTAGAGAGAGCACCCCAAAATAAAAGCAGTCACACACATGCGCACTATTGGAAGGAGTCGCTTTCCCAGTGTAGGGGAAAAGACAGAATGCGCAAGCGCGGCGGAGAGGCGGCGCTACCCCTGAACAAGGAGGTGATTTCTTCGTCTTCGTCGCCCGCCCACGTCCGATTCCCTTGTTCGGAGTCTGCGCTAGCCTAGGATCGAAGAGCTCTGAAGGGTGCTTCTTGCGCGTTCGGTATTACTCAGCGGACGTCAGGGCGGGGGAAGAATGAGGTGAGGGTGCACGCAGTCGCCCTGCGTCCCTTCCCCAACGGTCCCGCCGCCTCCTTCTCCATGGCCGGGAGGAAGCTGTGGGGTTGAAACAGCGACAAGGGAGGCCGGAAGCTGGGGGGAGGGAGCGGGGACTCGCTTTCTCTCCCCCCTCCTTTTCCCCGTCCTCCGTCATCTCACCTTTCCCTTCTGCAGGCCTTGCTCGGTGAGAGTTGTGGAGAAGATGGTGTGGGGCCTCTTTATTTTCTTTCTTTGATTTCCATTCCCGGTTCTCAGAGGCGGCTGTGACCTGAGGAAAGGAGGAAATGGGTGGTGGGACCAGCACCGGCTTTTACTGAGTGGAGCGCTGGGGAGAGAGGGATGTTTAAGTAAGTTGGGAGAATCGCCTTTTGTGTTGTGTGCTTGGAGACCGGCGGTTGCCGGGGCGGCGGAAGCGGCTGAATGGACAAGGCAGGGAAGTGAGAGTGTGCGCTTAGGGGACCGGCTGAATATATCCGGCCCTCTGGCTTGTTTTATCATCATGCAGGACAACCTGGGTGTTAACATACGTGAGATCCTGTTGTGGGCAGCAGCACCGCTGTTTCCTGGCTTCTTCCTATGTCATACTGCGGCTAAACTCTGACACAAGGTGCTTTGCTCCAGAGAGGATGACAGAAGTGATTTTTGTGGTATGGGGCGGGAAAGGAGAGAAGCTAAATAACTTGGTTTGCCTGACCATAGAATGACATTCTGGTGGGGGATAGGTTAGGGTACCTTATTGCTTTGAAAGTGGTATCTTGTTCTGCTCTGCAAAATACTAAGTTGGCTGTACTCACCTGAAACCCTTGCCCAGCTGCAATTAGAATAATTCCTAGCCCCCCTTAAAAGAAAAGCAGGTAAGGTGGGTTTATTTGTCAATGTAGTCTCCTACTGACTATGTAATAATTTTGCATGCCAAAGCGGATTAGAAAAAGTATTTCCCATTCTTGGGGAGGGGAAAGGCTTGTTAATAAAAAAACCCAAAACTATAATTAATAATAAAACCACTAAAGCTAGGCATAGCTACTTTTTAAATTTTTGGCCAGAAGTAATCAAACTGTAATGAGAACTTAGTATCCAATATGGTATCAGTCGATTAGATGTATGAGAATATTGGATAGATATAGTGTTATACTGGGAATAGTAAATAACTGTTCTAGAATGTGCAGTATTTTTCTAGGGTAAAGGTTGTGTAATGCTAACTATTTGGCATAACTATTGCCCTTGCTTGTTGTATTTTTATTAAAACAAGTGTATCAGCAGATAATAAAACTAAAAACAATGCTAACAAAGCCAAATAACTGAATAGAAATAAAATAGGAACAAATGTGTTTCAAAAATACAGATAAAGAGATTTAGGTTTTGATGATTACGTTCTATGATCTCTCTCCCCTCCCCCCTGATGTCTGCAATTTATCATTTTTAAGTTTCATCAATTAGCTGGTGGTCTATTTCTAATTAAACTGTCATTTAGCAATAATGCAGGTACTGTTGCAACATTCAAATTGAGTTTTAAATGATGTATGGGTTCATTTACAAAAACGGTTCTACAAAAGGGAAAGTTTTAACTGGAATAAAAAATGTAATAGTGTGATGGAAAAGGCAAGTTTGCAGTTTTGGGAACTGTTACTTTAATATCTTTAATGGTTTTATTTCTTTGAATTAGTGGCAATGTCTGAAAAAACTATTCAACCATTTAGATAATTTTTGTTCTGTGAAGAAAGATGAGGGCACAGCTAACAAACAGATCTTAGGACTGTGCATTATTTAAGTTTTTAAAGAGCAACTGTTAGCAATGCCTTAAACCAAATGATTATTCTCTTCAGTATGCTACAAAGGGCAGCTGTACAATCTCAGGAAAAGAAGTAGCTGGTTTAAGGGGGTTGCTCTGTAATTGTTTCAGTGTGTTCCAAAGGATCTTTTTCCTTACAGAATTGCATAGCCTCAATGTTGTTGTTTCTCTGTCTCTTATAAAAGCAGCTCAGCATTTTTCAGTGTTCCATCCATCCTGAAAAAAGTGCTATATTTCATAAAAACAGTTCTTTAAACATATTTTTTTTCATAACTTGAACAAAGTAGGACTGTTTTATTCAGGAGCAGAGAGGGTCTGAATCACTTTTCTGAATTATTTATGAAGGATGCACAGTCCTGGTACTCATAATGCCTTTGCTGCCCAGTGTCAAAACAAGGCATAACCTGCCTTCTTGTGCCAAAGAAGATGATTGAAGATGCCTATTTGGGGGATGTATGACAAAATGTATTTCCTGGCTCTAGATGGAAAAATAAGGACTGATCATTTGGGCAATAAAATTTTTCAAGGAGTAAATTATTGAGTGGAGTTATTTAAAGTGACTCCACATAATAGGGCTGATTATTTTCATAATGCCTCACCTTCCCAGAACATCATAAACACTAATCTCAATTACAGAGGCTGTTGCAAAGTTACAGTGTTATCAACAAATGATATTTGTAGCTGAATGTTAACCTGAGAGGTCCTTAGTGGTCTCTGAGCTTGGTTGTTTTCTTGCAGGCGTTTCATTACCTAAAGTAGGTAACACCATCAGTGCTAGTTTGGGTAATGAAACATCTGCAAGCAAACAACCAAGCTCAGAGACCACCAAGGACTCCTCATTACAGTGTTGTGCACGCTTTCCTGTGAGTATGCATTGAGAGAAATATTATATACAAGGAGAATGAGTAGCATTAAAAGGACTGTAAACTTTGGCTTGACTGTCAAGCCTAAATTGGCTTAAATAAATTGGGATTAGCTGAAGTATAAAAAAAATAATTAAGGCCATTTAAAGAATCTATGCTATCTTGAGAAAGTTCAGATGCTTATCAGAGAATGTGGATGGATAAAACAAGTTGTCAGGGCATGATTCTCTGGCTCTGTATTTCCAACACAAATTGTGTTGCTGTACACAATTTGTCCTGCTGTGACCTGAAAGATCATTTTAAACTGGCCTCCAACGAAGTTAAACATTCAGTTAGTTAAGCCCACTGTGCATTTATTTATTGATTTTTTTTTGTTTCTTAGCTGAAAGTATTGCATGTAGCACTTTCTCTTCCATTTTTTTCTCTCACAACATCTAACCTGTAGGGGTGGCCAAAGGGTAGTTACTTTCAAGTGATTCAATAGGTTTTTATAACTGAGGATAGACAAAATAATTTATATTCATTTTGATTTAAAATTCCAGTTATGCTGTAAATGTTTTCTGGTTTATTTTGTATAGTAAAAATGCTATGGGTTTATTTTATTTATTTCACATATGTGCATGATAACCTGTGACTGTTTTTTAATATTCAAATGAAAGATGACTGGATAGGTAGCCCCTCAAGGAAATAATTGCATATTCATACTTGAAAAATCCTTTCAATATCTATGTATTTGGCTAATTATATTATACAATAGTTTCAGATATTCTTGGGGAGGATGAATGATGAAATGAAATGAAAATGAGTTTACACTGACAAATGCCCTAGTTAGATCAATTTCAATTTCAATCTAAATTAAAATTTTCTTTTTGTATTGAACTGACTTGGCTGTCCTTGTGAGTAGTTGTCAATTTTCACGAATCTCTCAGTTGATTTCAGTACTAAAATTTATGGCTTCATTTTTCTTTGTGTTGAAGAGAGGAAGATGGGATTATCATGTTGAAACTTCTCCAAACTGTTGGAAAATCTCTGCTTTACAATGTAACACTTAAGGGATGCCAAAAGGAACCTTACGTGTTCTACATGCCTTTCTACATCTTTTATTTACTGGGAATAAAGAACAGTGATTCAGGCTAAAATTTATTTGGTTTTTGATGATACCTGGTTCTATCTTTGATTTAAGTCTGATCTTCTGGAGGCAATGAAATGTTTGCTTGAAAATTTTGTGGAGCTATATGCTATAAATCACAGATATATCCCAGCAGGCTCTGGAGAAGGCAGGCATGGCCACACAATTTTTTTTACAATAAATAGTGGATCATATTTTACAAGGAATATTGATGTTTTGTCATATTTTAATGTGATGCTGAATCACTGGAATGTAGTCCTTCCTTAGTTAAAATTCTTGAATGTTAAATATGTGAAACTAGATAGTTAACTTTCCATTTTATGACTTTAGATTAATACTTGACTCTAAATCAAATGATCTCTCTGTTGAAGTTTGTGGTCAGTTTACATTTTTTTTAGAATAACCTTAAATCAGTGTCTAAGGATATTTTTACAATGAAATTAAAGGCAATGCTGATTGCTTTTATATACTATGTACTGCTTATTTAATATCTCAATTGTAGTTGTGCATATTCCTAATACATTGATCTTGAGAAAGTATTGAACTCCCTCTGCTCCTGTTCTTCAAAAAACAAACAGATAATTGTAGAAAGTGGTATACCAAACTCTATTTAAGGCAAAATCGTAGTTGATTGGCTTAGAAAAAAATCTGACATGATTTTTTTTCCCCCTTTCTAGTTGCAAGTCATTGTTAAGAGATGGTTCAAGAAAATCTACCTCATAAATTCCGTTTGTTTGCCCATATGCTGCATCACTGGAGATCTCAACAGGAACTTGTCAGTTATTTTTGAAAGTCTCAGGAGAACATATGGACATCAGGTCAATGTATTACACTCTAGGAATGGTCAAAATATGAAGCATTCTCAATTCAGCAGGCCAATGTATTACCCATAAGTGTATTAAGAAAGCTTAAAAACATTTCAAACAGTACTCTCGATAATTCTTAATTATTCAGGAAATGGTAGCTTGATCTCTTCTGAAATCAATTGACTTTCTCTAATCTTGTCTTGGAGATATTAAATGGAATGCAATCATGTCTACCCATGAAGGAATACAGATCAACACAGACTATGCTGTCGCTTTGTTAGAACAGTTAAAATCATTCTATGAACAGCAATTGCTAACTGACATTGTTTTAATTGTCGAGGGCACTGAATTCCCATGTCATAAGATGGTTCTTGCAACATGCAGCTCTTACTTCAGGTACGTGTTTATAATAATACTCTTTTTCCCAAGAAATATGTATCCAAAATATATCTGAATAGTACGATTTATTAAGTGGATTCTACCACTAACTTGAAATAAATGAAGAACTAAAATTATGCAGTTTAAACTCAGGTTAACAAAATATAGAAGAATGAACTAATAATGCATGTTAAATGGTTCAGGGTTATTCTCAATGTGGAAGATAAAAATGGGCATCAAATACATAAGGTTTATTTGAACATAGTCATGTACTGAGGGAGGAATAGGCAAATTTTTGGTGTCCCTGTGTATCCTTGGAATTTCAAAACATCTTATACATCCTCTCAGAAGAAAACTGGCAACATTGCAGCCAACAAGTCCTCAAATTTGTCCATCCATTATGTTATCTATCTGTCCAGCTCAAGTTTACCTTTTTTAACTGGACAAATGAAATGTGTACAAATAAAGCATTTTGCTGCAATCCTATGACACTTTATGTGATATATTTAACTATTAATGTATCCGACTTGTCTCAGAAATAACTCATGAATTTGGTGGGCAGTTTATTTTAAAATGAGTATTGCATTTTTCCTTGGATTCATATCTGGGCTGTCTGCTAAAAATAATATTTGGAGCTGAGATTAAATTTATTTTGGTTTTAATTAAACTAAAATATAGTTAATGAGTATTTTCTAGTAATATATTTAACTGTCATGTTAAAATTACAATTTAGTAACAGGTTTGGAGCCTCTGGGATCTCTTGAGATGGGATACAACTATAGGGCATTGTTTCTGTTGTAAATGAAGAAAACAGTGTTGTTGTTAATTGCGAAGTCGTGTCCGACCCATCGCGACCCCATGGACAACGTTCCTCCAGGTCGTGCAGGGCCACCCAAGAGGGACAGGTTATAGCAGAGAGTTCTGACAAAATGTGATCCACTGGAGAAGGAAATGGCAAACCACTCCAGTATCTTTGCCATGAAAACCCCATGGACAGTACTAAAAGGAAAAAAAGAAAATAGTAGTGTTTAACTAAAAGAAATCTCAAAAAGGTAAATCTTAAATCTATAGACAAATTGAAATAGAAAGCTTATCTTTACTAGGGATATAACATATTTTGGAAGGAAAGTTGATCAATAGAAACAAGTATTAGGCAATATGAAGACCAGACCAATTCTAAGGTTGAAAACAAACAGACTTGACAACAGATTCCCTTTTGAACTAGAATGGGATACTATTAATACACTATAAAACATCCATGAATTGTGAAGATTAGTATTCTCTGAATTATATTAATAGCAATAGCAATATCATTTAGTCTTGCATAGTTCTTTAAAGCTCCATAGTGCTTTATAGCTCTCTCTGGGTAATTTACAATGTAAGCATTATTTGTATTTTGCTTCAACAATCTGGGTTCTCGTTTTACCAACCTCAGAAGGATGAAGACGGAAGTCAACCTTGAGGCCCATCATGATCAGACTCCAGGTTGTGGGCAGAGCAATACTACTTTCTAACCCCACCACCATTTAGAAGGACATTCTGCATATCCTGAGATTATATAAGATCTAGTTGGAGATAATGGCTTAGTTTATTCACCTGCATGCCTAGTAATTTTGTATAATATTTTGCATCGACATAGGCCCTCCGTTCCAGTCATAAGGAATTGTACAAGATAACTGTAAAGCTACCTGATAAGCCTTGGTATGAAATAAGTGCAGTGTTAGATACAGTGGGGCAAAAAAGTATTTAGTCAGCCACCAATTGTGCAAGTTCTCCCACTTAAAAAGATGATAGAGGCCTGTAATTGTCATCATAGGTAGACCTCAACTATGAGAGAGAAAATGAGAAAACAAATCCAGACAATCACATTGTCTGATTTGGAAAGAATTTATTTGCAAATTATGGTGGAAAATAAGTATTTGGTCACCTACAAACAAGCAAGATTTCTGGCTCTCAAAGACCTGTAACTTCTTCTTTAAGAGGCTCCTCTGTCCTCCACTCATCTGTATTAATGGCACCTGTTTGAACTTGTTATCAGTATAAAAGACACCTGTCCACAACCTCAAACAGTCACACTCCAAACTCCACTATGGTGAAGACCAAAGAGCTGTCAAAGGACACCAGAAACAAAATTGTAGACCTGCACCAGGCTGGGAAGACTGAATCTGCAATAGGCAAGCAGCTTGGTGTGAAGAAATCAACTGTGGGAGCAATAATTAGAAAATGGAAGACATACAAAACCACTGATAATCTCCCTGGATCTGGGGCTCCACGCAAGATCTCATCCCGTGGGGTCAACATGATCACAAGAACGGTGAGCAAAAATCCCAGAACCACACGGGGGGAACCTAGTGAATGACCTTCAGAGAGCTGGGACCAGCATAACAAAGGCAACCATCAGTAACACACTACGCTGCCAGGGACTCAGATCCTGCAGTGCCAGACGTGTCCCCCTGCTTAAGCCAATACATGTCCGGGCCCGTCTGAAGTTTGCTAGAGAGCATTTGGATGATCTAGAAGAGGATTGGGAGAATGTCCTATGGTCAGATGAAATCAAAGTAGAACTATTTGGTAAAAACACAACTCGTTGTGTTTGGAGGAGAGAGAATGCTGAGTTGCTTCCGAAGAACACCATACCTACTGTGAAGCATGGGGCAACATCATGATTTGGGGCTGTTTCTCTGTGAAGGGACCAGGACGACTGATCCGTGTACAGGAAAGAATGAATGGGGCCATGTATCGTGAGATTTTGAGTGAAAACCTCCTTCCATCAGCAAGGGCATTGAAGATGAAACGTGGCTGGGTCTTTCAGCATGACAATGATCCCAAATACACCGCCCGAGCAACAAAGGAGTGGCTTCGTAAGAAGCATTTCAAGGTCCTGGAGTGGCCTAGCCAGTCTACAGATCTCAACCCCACAGAAAACCTTTGGAGGGAGTTGAAAGTCCGTGTTGCCCAGTGACACCCCAAAACATCACTGCTCTAGAGGAGATCTGCATGGAGGAATGGGCCAACATACCAGCAACAGTGTGTGCCAACCTTGTGAAGACTTACAGAAAACGTTTGACCTCTGTCATTGCCAACAAAGGATATATAACAAAGTATTGAGATGAACTTTTGATATTGACCAAATACTTATTTTCCACCATAATTTGCAAATAAATTCTTTCCAAATCAGACAATGTGATTGTCTGGATTTGTTTTCTCATTTTGTCTCTCATAGTTGAGGTCTACCTATGATGACAATTACAGGTCTCTCTCATCTTTTTAAGTGGGAGAACTTGCACAATTGGTGGCTGATTAAATATTTTTTTGCTCCACTGTAAGGCCTGGTCCATATATTCTGCATTGCTTTGCAAGATATTGGGATAGAATGTTTTTCTTCCATGGCTTGTTTCCTGGTATGGCTGAGAGGAAAATAGACAAAGTATCTCTGGTAAAATGGATTCTAGTTTTTTTTTCTTCAGTCAAATTTTTAGTTTATTCAAAGAAAGTTAAAATATAAAATGCCAAAATATTTAAAAAAGACAAAAGAATAAAAACAAAACAAAGAAAACTTTGAAAAGCAAAAGTATTTTTAAAAAAAACAAGAAAAAAAGACTAACACATAATATTTTCCCTAGTTGAATGCTGATTAATATATCAGTGTTAGTTTCCCACCCCTTGTGAAATAGGCAAAAAGAATTTTAAACTATTGAACTACTAAATCTATTTACAGATTGTTACACAGTTATCTGTATACTATATTAATAACAAAATAGTTAACAGGAAAAACAATAATAAACAAAGTTATAAAAGTAATAAAATTATTAACAGTAGTAAGAAAAAAAACAAAAGTGAAATTCCAAAACCATCTATTAACGAACTTTTATTGGAATCAATTTGTAGAAAATTTACCATGGCTTTAATCTCAAATCATCCCAAATATTAACCCTAAGCAGTTCCGGATCAAATATCCACATTTGTTTCTTTATATCCCTTTTATCAATTGTTGATTGATTGAATACAATAAGTCCAATTTTTAAAGGCAATCTGTTTCCCCCAAAATAACCCAGATAAGATTGTTGCTCAATTAAATATAATAATTCCATTTCCCATTGTGCTTCAAAACCCTTAAAAAAGCCAGTTGCCACTTATCCACCCAGAGAGTTATCTGCTATTATATAAAAGCACAGTGTTGAGCTTCAGGAAGGTGTATGAAACTGACTCTGTTATTTCTAAGTCTATATTTCTTCCTGACTGTTTTACTGCTGAGAAATTACATTTATTCTGATGGTTTTCCACAGTCTGTGTTGTTTCTGAGTCTGTATTTCTTTCCACCAAATCTGCTACTTTGAAAACAAGTTCTTTTTGTGGGTTTAAAGTATTTGGGGTTGGTTTCTTCAGAATGTTTTCCACAATCTTTATGAGTTCATCAAAACTTTTGGGGAAAAAATCAGCTAAAGATTGCATGTTGCTAGCTAGTCTCTGTCCCCCCTCCCCTGGTGTCAGCCTCCTCCTCCTCTCTGTAATCTGATATGTTGTTGCTCAATGGAGTGGATAAACAAAGCAGGGAACAAGCAAAGAAAACAGTGAAGATATTTTCAGACTATTGTGATCCAAAATAATTTTTCATGTTAATTAAATACAAATCCAAAGAGATGTGCTGTGTTTCCATATGGAAAAGTGAAAGTTGGTAAGAGCATTCAAATAAAAAAAGAAAGCAAAAAACAACAAAAAACCAGATAGAATCCAGCAGGGGTTGAAATAAATCAGCATTCAGCCAACCAATTAACCTTTAAAGATAAGAACAAAAACCTTCACAATAAATGGAGTTAAAAATCTCAAGCATGCTTACGAAAATATTCCGCTGGTAGGAAGAGATGTAACAAACACTATTGGTTTTTCAGCTGCTCCCTCAAGGAGTTGCAACCTTCCAAGATTCCCCCTCCCAAATGGGTCCACATTCACCCAAAAATCATCTTCGATCATTCCTAAGTGGCCCTATTCTAATCCAGAGGGCAAGGCTGCCAAAGAATCAGCTCTGGTAGCAACAGCAGATCGTGAGTAAGAGAAAGAAAGCTAACTGTCTATGGAGATTCTCAGTCATTAAGGTCATAGTTATCCCAAAGATACTTTTTTGTGAGGCAACTGGACTTTCTTGTTTTTCTTTGAAGATGTTTTGCCCTCACAATGCAGTACAATGCAGTGAGCCATGTGCAGATCTGTACATTGGGGAAACAAAATAACTTCATAAACTTATGGCACAAGGTAGAACAAACCCATCAGGACAAGAGTCAGCAGTCCATCTGCATTTAAAAGACAAAGGCCACATTTTGGACAGAGAGGACTGCTGGTTCGAAAGAGGGTTCAAAGAGGCCATCTATGTCAAAACTGACATCTATGTCAAAACTATTTTTAAACAGCCCTCTCTCAAAAGAGAGAGAGGGATCCGACATAATCTATCTCTAGTCTATAACAAAGTCCTTTTAGCAATTCCAAGAAGGCTCCACATCCATTTGCACTACTCAGGTGACCCTGAAGACACAGATAGGCCTCCAGGTAGCTTTAACCACTCACTAAAAGAATGCAAATGTACAGCTGTCTGCAAGGAATATAAGTTCTTTCAATTCCCCACCATCCAGTCAGAGCTGAAGAAGGTTCTTGGATGAGAAGTGAAACATCTTCAAAGAAAAGAAAGTCTAGTTGCCTCCTGAGAAAGCATCTTTGGGAGAAAGAAAGCTGTTACTCTTCAGCAGCCATCTTGGGGAGGGGCCAACAGATTCTAGATTTTTAAACAAATTTGAAGTCAGAAATATAATATGAATTAATATGAACAAAATTGAACAGCTCTTTATATAACTAACCTTCGATTTATGACTACAATTGAGCCCCAAATTTTTGTTACTAAGTAAGACAGTTAAGTGATGTTTGCCTCATTTTACGACCTTTCTTGGCACAGTTGTTAAGTGAATCACTGCAGTTGTTAGTAGCATGGTTGTTAAGTGAACCTGGCTTCCCCATTGATGTTGCTTGTCAGAAGGTTGAAAAAGGTGATCACATAATCCTGGAATTCTGGAACCATCATACATATGTCAATTTCCAAGTGTCTGAATTTTGATTACATGATCCTGGGGATGCTGCAATGATCGTAAGTGTGAAAAATGGTCATAATGGTCACTTTTTTCAGTACTGTTATAATTTTGAACAGTCACTAAATGAACTGTTGTAATTCGAGGACTACCTGTAATTAATTTTTAATAGTCCAGTGAAAACAATAGAAACATTTGTCTATTTTAGCACTGAAAATAGTGTGTAGTATTGAATGTTAACATTCCTAACCAGAATAAAAATGGGTGGTATATGGATATTATACTGATTTTCTAAAGTGTAATTGATTACAATACAACTAGGAATATACTCATTTTGAATCAATAATTTTACAAGATATTCATTATATTGAATGCTATCCACAAACAGTTTTTAGAATACTGGTGCAATTAGATAGGAACTAGAGATGATTACATTTTTATTTTTATCATTCAGGGCAATGTTTATGAGCGGGTTGAGTGAAAGCAAGCAAACACATATTCATCTGAGGAATGTGGATGCAGCCACTTTTCAGATCATAATAACTTATGCTTATACGGGTAATTTGGCAATAAATGACACAACTGTTGAACAGCTTTATGAAACAGCTTGTTTCCTACAGGTAAGATTGTTTTATACCAACTTTTCTAAGATGTGTTTTCCAAGTTATAGCTTTCATAAAATTGAATAGTGTAAAGTAACCTGCAAGATCAGTAGGAAAAAATGGAAACAAATTCTTGAAATTCCAACTACTACCCTTCTTTTGAAACAAGTGATTATTGTGCAGATGTAGATGCCTGTGACTCACAGTAAAATGTCATGACATCTCCCATTAATACAGAGATAATAGAAAAAATATTGCCTACTGAGATGTTAACAGTCTTTTCAGTAATAAAAATGCATAGTGGAAAATACCTTTGCTGGTACAGAAATTCATTATGACCAGCTAGAATTTCATAAAAGAGTAGACATTCTTGTATTATTTTGGATAGTTTGACTAAAGGTAAGAACTCTAAGGTTCACCTCTTGGAAAGAGACTTTTAGAATGTGCAGAAATGTGTATGAGATTCTTTTGTAGCATTAAAGCAGCTGTGTGGTTTTCCAGGCTTCATTGTTTTCCCATCAAAGCAAAGTGAACATGCACGTACATGTATGCAGATCAAGAGCAGAAGCTGCACAGTCTTAGTCATTAGAGCAGTGGAAGGCATTCACTGAAATCAAATCAAAACTTTAGAAAGCACATCTCAAAATGTAAAAGCAACCATGTTCTTCAGCAATCTCAACATAGCTTCTTTGAAGGTTTTTTCTGGTTGTGCGATGGGACTGGAAGTAAATCAGTGTATAGGCATGAATACAAATCTATAATATTTCAAGAAATGTGCTTTGTTTGTATTTCATAATATACTTTGTGAAGTTCCTTTTATGTGCACTTTGCACAGTATTATTACTTCCCATTAATCAATTTGGTCTCAGAAGGAAATTTTGATAGTTTTTTTTCTTTCCATAATCTGCTAGCAGTACACAATCCTAGATTAATATATGATATCTAATATTTTGGTATTTATGACAGGATAGAAATTAAGATTATTACATTCCATTTTTTCATCATTAATTACAAGTATGAAGATGATGAAAATGTTTTGATCACTTCTCATATATTTTTTTTAATTGCAGGTCGATGACGTGTTACAACAGTGTAGGGAATATTTAATTAAAAAAATTAATGCTGAAAACTGTGTGCGGCTTTTGAGTTTTGCTGATTTTTTTAGCTGTGAGGAGTTAAAACAGAGTGCTAAAAGAATGGTAGAACACAAGTTTACAGTTGTATATCACCAAGAGGCTTTTATGCAGCTCTCACATGATCTGTTGATAGATATTTTGAGCAGTGACAATTTAAATGTGGAAAAAGAAGAGACAGTTCGTGAAGCTGCTATGTTATGGCTGGAGTATAATACAGAATCTCGATCACAGTATTTGTCATCAGTTCTTAGCCAAATAAGAATTGATGCACTTTCTGAAGTTACACAACGAGCTTGGTTTCAAGGCTTACCACCAAATGATAAATCAGTAGTGGTTCAAGGGTTGTATAAATCTATGCCGAAGTTTTTTAAACCAAGACTTGGAATGACTAAAGAGGAGATGATGATCTTCATTGAAGCTGCTGCTGAAAGTCCTGGTAATATTTACTCTTCAGTATCTTACAGCCCACAGGCTGAAAAAGTTTATAAACTCTGCAGTCCTCCTGCTGATCTCCATAAAGTTGGGACACTTGTAACTCCTGATAATGATATTTATATAGCAGGTGGGCAAATCCCCCTGAAAAGTACAAAAATCAACTACGGTAAAACTAGCAAATTTCAATTTGCTTTCCGTACTGTGAATTGTTTTTACTGGTTTGATGCCCAGCAAAATACATGGTTTCCAAAGAGTCCAATGCTATTTGTTCGTATAAAGCCATCTCTTGTTTTCTGTGAAGGCCTTATCTATGCAATTGGTGGAGACAGTGTTGGTGGAGAACTCGACAGAAGAACTATGGAAAGATATGATACTGAGAAAGATGAATGGACCATGGTAAGCCCTCTGCCCTGTGCTTGGCAGTGGAGTACAGCCGTTGCTGTTCATAACTGCATTTATGTAATGGCGCACAACTTGATGTACTGTTACTTCCCCAGATCAGATGCTTGGGTTGAAATGGCTACAAGACAAACTAATAGATGCTTCGCTTCAGCTGCTGCTTTTGGGGATAAAATATTTTATATTGGAGGCTTGCATGTTGGCGGCAATCTTGGTATAGGATTACGTCCTCGGACTATAACTGGACCTTCCCTAGCAGTGGAAGTTTATGATGTGAATAAAAATGAATGGCAAATGGCAGCCAAAATTCCTGCCAAGCGATATTCTGATCCCTGTGTCAGAGCTGTTGTGATTTCTAACTCAATGTGTATCTTTGTACGAGAAACACATATGCATGAAAGAGCCAAGTATGCCACATACCAATATGACATGGAACTTGATCGTTGGTTCTTGCGACAGGATATATCTGAGCGGGTACTCTGGGATTTGGGAAAAGATTTCCAATGCACTGTGGGAAAACTCTATCCATCTTGTCTTGAAGAGTCCACATGGAAACCTCCATCATACCTAGTTTTTCCTTATACAGATGATGAGTTTGAAATTGAGGAGGATGTTCCATTGCCACTTGTATAGCTCCCTTATTCAGAGACTGCATGCCTGTAACTAATTATGAACATTGTATTTGAGAGACTAGAGCTGCAAAATGAAATGTTGTCTTGTATGTATGCCCTAATTTTTTTGTGGCCATTGAGTGTAAATCAGTAAAAATTCTTACTAGATATGCTTCCATCAGTCCCTCTGATAGTTGATGGAATTTCTCACACACACAACACAACCTGTGTGTGTGTATATGTGTGTATATATGATTATATATATCATATGATCATATATGTCATATGATTATATGTATTATCTATATGTATCTATATTTTAAGCTTAAAGCCTCTGCTTGTCTAAATTTTTAGTCCTGTGAAAACATTGAGTTCTGGAACTTTTCACAAAGCAGCTTCTATTTCTAGAATGTTATATTAATTGTTCAAAATATCTTCCAGTTATATTTAAATAAGTTCTGGAAATATCTATATGTGCTAGTTATATAGATTGTGTAGCTGAATGAAATGTGCTGCACTCAATACACACAGTTGTATTGGTGTAATAATACCATGTAAAAGAATAAAATCCCATGGATCTACCTGTGGTAGGAAGGGTAGATCTTCCATTTTATGGTGATATGCAGGGCAAAATGACTGCAGGTTCAGTCTAGCTATATTATGATAATGAAGAAGAAGATGATGACTAGGTGCATGTATTTTCACTAACTTATACCTGTTTATTTAGAATACAGGTCTTCCGAGCAGCTGGTAGTTTACCAGGTGTGAACTGACATTGCTGGGCTTGCAGTAAGAATTGCTAGCCCTTCATAGTGCGGGTCTGTGTGGAGCTTTTGATCAGTAAATAGCTCCATGTTCTGTATTTCTGAAACATTGGCTTATGAATATTAGTTCCTGCTGCTTATTTTCCCCTACCCCAGTATAAACAAAAGTGTAGTGTGAATTAACCATGTCTTTATTTTTGTTAATTTAACATTACTGTAATATGTCTTTGTAAAAATATTCTTACGTTGTTTGTCTCTTATTTTCTCTTGTGGGGTGGGGGGGGGGAGAGAAATTTTGTTCAGGAATACTTTGTGCTGAAGAGCGGTTGCTGCTCTGGCATTAATCCCAGGAACCACTAGCAGTAGTAAGGCACCACCAATCTCATAGGAGCCCAGATACTTCATCATGGATCATACTAGCATGTTCAGCTGCATCATGTTCTGGCATTGTATTTTGAATATTAATTTATTAAAAATGAATCATTGTTCTTTCCTCCCCCCATAAGTCTGTGTATTTATCCGGAGTTGTTGAAGTATGATTGAAACAACAGTTTTAAAAATTGCTGTTTAAAATGTTAATACATACAATAGTAGATTCAGATGTTCAGAAAAATCTGAAAAAATATGAAATGATTATTTCTTTCTCTTTAGAGGTCAAAAAATGTTTGAAAACAGAAGAAAAATAAAATGTGGTAAAAGCCCTATATGTTAAAGATCATGCAGGCTTTTAACTCAGGCCTTCTTCTCTTATTATTACATAAAATCACAGTAATATAATCACAGTAAAGCAGTATACTGAATTTTTCTCTTTGGTTCTAGACATTTATTTTTGTGCCCTGGGATTTCTTACACCGGCTTTTTGCTTTCTTTCTTCCTAATTAATAACTATATTTTCTTTAATGTTTGCAATAGATTTTATATTGCTTTGTGATAAAATAGTCTCTGCAAACTAGGAAACTGACATTCAGCCCAAATCATAAAAAATTTATTATTGTGTCAGCCAATTTTAAGAATGGAATAAGAAGCAGTTAGAATTTATCTTTCTTATTGCCCCTTTTTCTGAGTCAATTACTCATTCTTCAGCAGCTTATTAAAAACTTTCTATTTTTGAAATAATTCATTTTGGTTAAGATAGAATGCTGTAGCAAAACCTTCAGAGTCTTGTGATTAAAAATACTAATTAATAGCATACTTTTTCATGAACATTGAATAGATATCAGTTCGTGAATCTGCCAATCAAAACTAAATTTTGCTGTTTGAAAAATAAAAACAAAACAAACCCAACTAAAAGAGTTAGATTAAAAAGAGGAATGGCAGAAGTTACAACACATGGCCACAGAAACTTGTGTATAAAGTAGGAATCTTATACTTGAACATGTTAGTGTTTGATTATAATAGTTCTCTTTAAGAAGCATTTGATTTAAAGTGTTACATGCTGCTGATCCTTTTGTTCTTTAATTTGGGCTTCTTTTGGTCTTGATTTTGGCCCTGAACAAGTTTAAATATAAAATTTTGGAAAGGGAGGCGTTGAGATTCTGCTAATCTCATAAATTCATGAGAGGGCATTGTATAATTTATTTAAACTTTTCAAAATAGCTTATTACACACTTCATTTTTGCTGTTAAAATTAACACTTTTTTCCACTAAAAAAAGTCAGAATAGATTCTTGAACAAGATAGGTCAGCAAGCATATATTTGAGCAAGGCTTTCAGAAAGTTTTATGAAGAAGCATAGGCCTCTATGACAACTTCATAGGATTTTGTAAGACTACTATGACGAGGATGCTGCCGATTTTCTTTCATTAGTGCTTTGGTTCTTATCAGAGATTACGGTGGTGGTGTTTTTTAAAAAAAACACCATATTCCTCAGCCCAAAAAAGTTTGAAAAACTCTTAGACAAGATCTGGTTGCATGCAGATAAGTTACCTTTTTGCAAACCTGAGAGTATCTGACCATGGTAACTAAACCTGAGTGTCACACCATTTTGAGCAAAATAACAAAGTTATCAGTATAATATGTAAACTCAAAACAGGTACATCCATTTAAAAAAAATATTCTCCAAGCAGTTCTGATTAGGCCAATCTATTTTGCAGTCCTTAGTCCTTTGTTGCCTACCTGTGCTTTAGAACTAACATTTGTCTTCATAAACTTATAAAGAGTGTATATACAATTAGAATGGCTATTTTTATGGAAATTATCTAAGATTCTGGTCATTTATATTGCAAAATGGAAAAAAGTTTTTTTTTAAAAAATGCATTGAAACTGCTCTATAATAAGTTTGTACTGAATAAGAAAACTTTGAAACCAGTGGTAATTCAGGCTATAGTAGAGTGGGCTACCAAGATAATAGATAAAACAGGTATCTTCTAAATTGCCTACAGGATAAGATATAAAATATTTTGTAGGCTTGGTGTTTTTCAATCCTCATTCCACAGGCAAAATAAGCATTTTCCTTAGCTACATTATACATGTTCAATAGAAAAAGATGTTTTGGATATTAAAATCTATATCTACAGTAGAGCATTAGAGATGGTAAAGTTTGAATCATTTTTAGTTGTTCATTTTTTCTCCTATTTTTTGTTATCTTCATAACACAGATCTCAAACTTTATCCTTTCAGAAGCTTTTAGCACTGTTAATAATTCCTCATGTGAAATCTACTCAGTATTTCTACCTAGCAAAAATAACTATAGACTTGTATTGAAATCTATTTGTCATATTTAGTTACAATATTTTATCCAAATAACATGTCTTCACATACCTTAAAAAAAGAATATGTTGTTAGGATAAAATATATAGATACATTAATAGTCTTTCTCAAACACAAGAATATTATTTGTTCATCTAATATACCCTTATTCTTTCAGAACTGATAATGGGTTGCTTTCAACTAATTTTTACTGTTATGTTTCACTTCAGTTAACTCATGATTGAACAACTATGTTTGTATGTCCAGAAGTTAGTTTTGTGATTCATAAATTAGATGAGAGGTTTAAGTATTTATTTCATTTTGTAATGGGATACACATTTCTAAATGCTTGAAAAATGTTTTAAAAACAAGAATAGTTGTGTTATATATGATACAAATATATAATTTCACAATAGAAAGTCCCAGTGCATAAAACAAAAATACTTCAAAATAGCAAGAGATCGTAAATCTGATCCTAACTTGTTTGTGCAGGTGATCCTAACTTGTTTGTGTAGCATCAGCATGATCACAATATCCATTAAATAGTTTCATCATCATGTTCCTAGTTATTTGCTCACAGTAAGACTGGATGCATGTATTCAGAAATTGAAGATTTCTCAGCATATTGATTGCACAGAGTTACTGCTTTTACATGACAATGACAGTTTTATTTTCATTTTTTTCCCTAGCTGTTGAATTAAGCATAAGTGTATCTCACTGTACTTACATGTAAGTATCATATATTTGAGTCAGACACATTCTGTGTCACAACAAAGTGAGAGCCATGTGGTAATATAAACCATTCCATAAGACTCACTGAAAGCTAAATTAGGCTATACTTGTAAGTATACTAAAAACATCAAAATAAAGAATTAAAAATGGAATTGGAAGAATAAACTTCATTTTTGTGGTTCTTATCAATGAATGACAATGCCAATAAGTTGACACTATGGGTAAGAAGCACACACACTAAACTAAAATCCTCGTGTTTTCTTAAATGAAACCTAGTTTTTAATTTACACTTCCTACTGGTGGAGATAAAAGAATTGTACCCAAGGCTCAAACTCCAGAACAGAAGTTGTTATTGGCTTACATTATTCGTATTAAATTTGAATTGCATTTTTATATCTCATTGAAGCAACGTAGTTTGAAATAGCAGTGCCATCATTAAAAACATGTTGGAAAGCTCTTGGGCTACCTTAAACTTTTCTACAAAATTATGCAACCTGGTGTTTTTATCCCAACTTGTTCAGAGGTTACTTCTACAGAATCTAAAAAACTTCATTATAACCAATGATTTATGCATAAAGGATCAGAAATTGATACATGATGACTACTTTTAGTTTTACTGATATGATTAAATATTTCTTAAATTCTCAGTATGTGAAATAACTTTTGGAATGGCATATATTATAAATACTTGCATGGGACTGCCAGTTTTAACTATTGCTACATCTTGTTTCAAAAGGCTGTAATCTTTCCATGTAAAAAGTGTGTATAATCAAACAACTCCCAATGAGGAAATCAAAACAAAAGGTTATGTTATGATAGAACTTAAAATTCAAAAGCAACTACTTTACAGTGTATTTAATTTCTATTCCACTTTTCTGTTCAAAATTAATAATTCATTAGAACAACTACTCTCCTTGTGCTTAAAGTCTAGTGATAGCACAGCATGTTCAGTTATCTGTAAATTCAATTCAGAGTTGATAGCTTTACAACAGGTTCTTGAGTTAAAATGCTTCTTTGTAAGCTCTGTTCACAGTTATACTTGCAGAACTGAATCACACTTTAAGAGCGTAGTTTAGTAATGCACTATTAAAAGAACATTGATATTTGACAAATCACAATATTGGTTACATTTCAGTTATCAAAATGTTTGGAAACAGCAAAGCTTTCCAATGGAACTAACTGTCCTTTCTAAACATTTACCACATGTAGCAATATACCTATAAAATATTCTATTTAATTGTTATGAGATAGCACATGGATATTTGGGATACCAAAACTGGCTACTAGTTTTCATAAAGTTGATTTGGAATAGTGGATATTTACAGTAGCTATAAACTAATATATATTATAAGAAAAATCTTATAGTCCAAGCTTTCAAGGTAGAGCTTTAATCAGAATTTCCATTCACCCCAGATAATGTAGCCAATCATTAAAGCAATTGCACAAATTAAAAATCTAATTTCAGAACTGTGACATAGCAAGTAAATAGATAGGAATATTGCTAGTACAAATTTGATAATAGGCATTCTCATCCCTGCTTTATAGGGAAGTTGTGGAAATTAACTGTAACTAGAATATATTTGAAATAAATTTATTTAGAAAGATACAATCATATTTCTCCCTTAAATCCAGAATACAAGAATCTCTGATTATGGTAAGCAATGCAGTCAAGAAAGAAATAATGTACTACTAATATTCAGCTGTCTAGAAATCTGATAATCTATGTCATAATTTGTGTTAACTATGCATTCCTCCTACCATCACATCAACTCTGAAAAGGAAAATCAGCAATTGTGACCATGGTATTATTTCAAAATAAAAATGGTTCAAAATAAACATTTGGTTAAATCATTGTTTTAAACTGGGCCATATTATGTTTTCATAGGCATCAGTGAAATAATTTTTCTTTAACAATGAACAAGGTTAAACATACTGTATGTGGGTAGATGGGGCAAAGATTACTTGCTAACACGCACTGACTAGAAAATATTATAGCAGCTGTGGAAAAAAAAGAGCCTAATTGAAGAGAGGTAGATAATTTGTTAAAAGTATTTAGATACTGAGACACTTAAATATAACAAAAGAGCATGAAATTGCACTACATTCCCATTAACAAAAAACAGTAATTAGACCTATACAGTGTGAAAAGTTAACTCCTGCAATAGTTGTCACCTAAATGATGACATGGTAAAATTGTCTTAGTCTTTTTAAAGACTATTTAAAGACTGCTAATTTAAATTTCATTAATTTCACGTTATCCCACTTACAATTACTTCCATTTGTAACACCTTTGTGAAAATATATTCTATCGAAACAAACAATTCTGCACATTGGACTTGCAGAAGGAAAAAATAAATTTACAAATACAAATGTGAATATATTTTTATGTATTAAATGTTGAAATATTACCTCCATATACACTATTATGTTCCATACTGAAATATAATTTAACTCTTAAAAACAATGCAAAACAATTTAACTTAAAATACAGCTAAATTGACAGATCACCATCCTCCAAAATACAGCTTACATTGGAAAATAAACCTGCAATAAGGTTCAAACATAAAGAAGTATTACAGCAGTTGCCAAATTATATCCTGTGGTGCAGCTCAAAGACCATCTTCATGCAGCTTGAATTCAGGTGCCTATGGTTTTATAGCAAAGCCTTTTGGTTTCTTAAAATAAATGCAAGAACTTAGCCCATAAGAATTATTCTCCAAGGCTTTGAGATGACTGGGTGAAAGTAGAAAGCCATGAAGACACTGCTGATTTTGCACTGGTGAGTGCTCCTCCAACTGATTGACCTGTATTATGAAACAAAATAGGATGGGGGGGGGGTTTAAATAGAATAAATTAAGAATATATGTCAGAAGCACTTCCGCCTGAATAATATTTTATTCATTACTGTAACCATTAGGCCATAACAGAATACAAAATACAGAACAATAAGATCACAGGTAACCAAATAAAAGTAAGCATGGCATGCAGCTGGGTTATTTGAGGGACCACCTCTCCTCAATCACATCAACCTACCCAGTGTTTCCCAAACTTGACAATTTTAAGGCATGTGGACTTCAACTCCCAGAATTCCACAGCCAGCAATGCTGGCTGTGGAATTCTGGGAGTTGAAGTCCACATGCCTTAAAATTGTCAAGTTTGGGAAACACTGATCTATCCTATCAAGTCTGTCAGGAAAGATATGTTACAGGTCTTGTCCATAAAGGAACAGTATCTGATGGGGAACCAGGAGGACAACTTTTTCTGCCACCCTCTGTAACAGTTTTCTTGGCTTTGCAGATGGCAGGAGAAGGGGGGATGGTCCTGCGTGAGAGGTGGGTAAGCGTACAGACACAGTTCCATTTGCACAAATGGCGGGATGGGGGATCCCTGCTCTATAACAATCCCCCAGATATCATACTGGCCCTAACTTTGATGACCTTCCGAAGGGCTAAAAACATGGATTTGCCATTTGATCTGGGGAGCCAGTGACATGAATATGGAGTATGCTTGGTAGCAGTATTGTTAGGGAAGCTAAGTGCACTTTTCTACACAATTATGGGATTTTTAAAAGATGATATTTATTGTTTCAATACTTTTAATGATTGTTGTGTTTATTGTTTTGTTTTTGTATGTACTGTGTATGCATTCAGCGTCACTTATTTAAGTTGAGTGGCTATATAAATTTAGGCAACGAATGAATAAACAAATACAAGGCAGAATTAAAAGGAAATATAAATCATATTTCTACATCACCTTTACAATTTACCACAATCACATCCTCATATGCAGTTCTCATTTGTACTGTTGTGGTTGGATAAAGAACCATATTATATATAGTATTTGGGATCCTACTATGTATGAAATACGTTTTAATATATGAATCCCAATGTCATTTTTAAAATACATTACCCAAGATATTGATTTGGATAATTATTTTATTGTATAATAAAGTCAGAGATATTGATCTCTTTATTATACAACTGGTATTCAAATAATATATGAGTTATGACCTGAAGCTCTTCTTTTGTTTCATAATACTTGATAAAGGTACTTGATAAAAATCCTTTCATATTTAATCATGTCCAGCTGTTCAAATCTTGCTGGAGAAATATCCCTCTAAAATGCTTGGGCATTTTATATTTAAATATTTAGCAGGATGGAAGGTAACTTTATAGAAACTGAGGGTCTTCAGTGAGCTAAAGGTAACTATATTTCTCTGAGCTTGTACAATATATTCAAAATTCTTTGGGTAGCAATCTTAACTTGTTTTCTAGAGACAGCTGGACAAGAAACAGGAAGACCACAACTCCTGATATAGTTTGTGACTTATGTAGTTCAACAGTTGAGAGGTCCTTGATGCTGCCTGAGCTTGGTCATTTTCTTTCTTTCTTACTCAAGCTAGGTAACAATTCAAGAGTTCTCTAGCTGAAATTCAGTCTATACTATCAGGCACAATTTTGGAAATCTGTCAGTTTCCATAGCAATAGCAATAGCACTTAAACTTATATATTGCTCCATAGTGCTATATAGCATTTTCTAAGTGGTTTACAAATGTCAGGATTTTGCCTCCAACAATCTGGGTCATTTTACTAATCTCAGAAGGATGGAAGGCTGAGTCAACCTCCAGCCAGTCAAGATTGAATTCCAGACTGTGGCAGAATTAGCCTGCAATACTGCATTTTAACCAATATGCCACCAAGCTGTTAGCACTGATTTTGCTCCAATAATTGTGTGCCCTGATTTTGGATAACACATTCCCAGTGTGGCTCTAACTGCAGCAACTGAGGTCTTTTAGCCACATTCAAAGTACTTCTCAGGTGTTGGGCGTGCTCTATAATTTGTACGTTTTATTTGAGTTTCATATAGAGAGTATAGGAGTGCCTTTCGCTTTGTATACTTTAATAATTATGGATAAAGAATATGGATAAAGTGATTTATTAGTTTTAACAATAAATTTACATGTGTCTTTGGTCTTTGTGAGCTTCTTTGATGATGACAAGGGAGCCAAGATCCAGTCTCAGAGAAGACATCCCTTAAAGCCACTTACAACTGCAATGTCATTTTCTAAAAAAATCATAATCTTTGATTTATTAATAACAGAGAATTATGATAAGTCTTCTTATCTACATAGTCCAACTTGTGAATATGATAATATAATTGAATATAATAATAAAGTCATTGTCAGCTTACATCAAAGTGTTGCAATATTTTAGGCATGTGTACTTCTGGATTTTTCATCAGTCCTGTTGAATCATTAATATACAGACTAAATGGCACTGGCGCATGTATGCATCTCTGCCTTGTCCTTTGTAAATAATGATATTGCTTGCATGATTTCATTGACTCCAAATCACAATCTCAAGCAAGGATTTTGTGCAAAGAATTTTTATCAATGTAGCAAGCAGTCTGGATCCCATATTGAGGATAAATGATTTTCTCCATAATGCTTCTCTGTTAAAAGTGTCAAATGCTACACCCTATCAGCTCAGCAAATGGTTGATTCTCCTTGCTTACAGATATAATAATTATATGATTAAAGATTAAACTTGCTGGTAATAGATCAACTCTGTCTAAAGCCACATTGTTGTTCTGTGAGACCTATGTACAATAAGAGTTATTCCTAAAGGCATTGTAATAAAGGTTTGCTATATATAAATATACTCTTTTATCCTTATATTTTAATTTGCTATGGAATGTTTATTTGATTTTTGGTGTTATATGGGATCTAAATGGTTCATGAATTTCCTTTGTTAAAAAAAGATATTTGGTAAAATATAAATTTATGATTCAGCAAAAAACAATATTTTAAAGCTGGCCAAGGGAAGGATATTTTTTGCATTTGTATTAATTTCATCATGGCCTAATGCAGGGTAGGCAACTTTGGCTCTTTTATGACTCATGGACTTCAAGTCCCAGAATTTCTGAGCCAGTAATTCTGGGAGTTGGTCCATGAGTCATAAAAGAGCCACGGTTGCCTACCCCTGGCCTAATGGAATGCATAGTTCAGTCACTGAATTTGTAGCACATTACTTCCCAGTAAGAGGACCACTTACCAACAGCTCTTCCTGTCTGCACAACATTTCGACTAGTGGTAACCATGGCATTTCCAATCTTCTTACCACGTTCACTGTTCTGAACAGAACTAAATTAAGAAATAGAATAGCACTGTCTTATTGCTTTCTGCTAATTTCATGTATGTAATGTTTAATAACATTAATTATGGGCCCAACTGTCAAAAGAATGCTTAGGACCATATTAGTTGGAAATATGAGGAAGAGGCCTTCATCCTGCAATGGATAGACCAGGGGTAGGCAACCCAAAACACTTAAAGAGCCACTTGGACCCGTTTCCCACCAAAAACAAAACACTGGGAGCCGCAAAACCATTTTGATATCTAAAATGAAGATAACACTGCATATATCCTTTTTTACCTTTATTATAGGTGTGTGTGTGTTTGTGTGTGTGTGTTTGTGTGTGTGTATGTATGTGTGTGTGTGTGTATATATGTATATGTATGTATGTGTGTATATATATATATATATATACATACACACACAACACACACACACACACGCACAGGTAAAAAAAGGATATATGCAGTGTTATCTTCATTTTAGATGTCAAAAGGGTCTCTCTCTCTCTCTCTCCCTCTCTATCTGCCCTTGGTCTGCCACTCCTCTTCCCCCGCTCTCTTTCTTTCTCTCTCTCTCTTTCCTCTCTCTCTCTCTCTCTCTCTCTCTTCTCTCTCTCTCTCTCTCTCCCCCCCCTCCTATCTGCTGCTCACCTGACAAGCTTCAGGCTGTTGTCCAACAAGATCAGGGGTAGTCAACCTCGTCTCTTTTATGACTCATGGACTTCAACTCCCAGAATTCCTGAGTCAGCCTAGCTGGGCTAGCTAGCTCTCTCCTGCCCTTCCTGCTTCCTGCAGAGACGCAGCAAAGGGAAGAGCTCCGCCCAGTAAGCTTTTCAGCTCCTCGGAGAACACTGTGAGTGCACTCTCTTTTTTTTATACACACACACACACACACACACACACACACACACACACACACAGAGAGAGAGAGAGAGAGAGAGAGAGAGAAGCAGGGAAGCGCAATTCCTCTCTCTGTCTCTCTCTGCAAAGGCAGAGGAGGCTGGGAGCCGCAGGGGAAGGTTCAAAGAGCTGCATGCGGCTCCGGAGCCGCAGGTTGCCGACCTGTGGGATAGACAATGGCTAAAATGATGATAATGAATGTTTAGTAATATCAATTAGAATTAAAGTTCTTTATTGGCCAAGTGTGATTGGAGACACAAGGAATTTGTCTCTGTTGCATAAGCTCTCAGTGTATATACAAGCAACAAGTGATAAATCATGATTATAATCATAAAATACATTCATCATAAATCAAAAGATACAACACTCAGTGATTGATGGTCATAGGATACTAAATAAGTAATCAACATAAATCATACTAGGATACTAAATAAAATGAATATAAATAGTAAGATTCAAGCAACAAAGTTATAGTCATAAGAAGATAAGAAATAGGTAATACCATGTTTTCCCAGAAATAAGACCCGATCTTATATTTTTTTGCCTTCAAAGAGGCACCAGGTCTTACTTTCAGAGGGTATCTTACCTTAGGATCACCACAGCCAGGCCTCCCATACCCGACACCTGTCGCGCTGCTGCTTGATTTCTTCTGTGGCTGCTTGCCGCCACTTGTGGTTGGATGTCATGTGGCGCATTGCGCTGTTGCCACTGCTCACAGAGGAACGCTGCATGGTGCTTCGGGCTGTTTCTAGTGGCAAGAAGCTGCACAGTGCTTCAGGCTGCTGTTGCTGCTCGCGCAGCACTTTGGGCCACTTCTGCTTGCAGCAGGAGGCCACGTGGCTCTTTAGGCTCTTTCCGCTGCTCGTGGCAGGAGGAGCGGAAATGGCCTGAAGCACCACATGGCCTCCTTTTCCGAGCAGCAGAAGCATCCTGAAGCGCTGCGCGAGCAGAAGCAGCCCGAAGCACGTGAGCAGAAGGAGCCTGAAGTACGTGAGCAGCAGAAGCGGCCCGAAGTGCTGTGCGGCTTCTTCCGCTAGCAGAAGTGGCCCAAAGCACCATGTGGCATCCAAGTGGCAAGCAGCCACAGAAGTCAAGCAGCGGCGTGACAGGTGTTAGGGTGTGGGAGGCCTGGCTGTGGTGGTCCTACCGGTAAGGTAAATGAGTGCGGGTGCATGAGGCAGCTTCACCCCCCTACCCCCACCCTAGCTTGATTTTTAGAGGTGTATCTCGCCCCAAAACTAATGCTTAGTTTTGGGATAGGGCTTATATTAGGCCCACTTCCAAAAATCAAGCTAGAGCTTACTATTGGGCTGGGTCTTACTTTCGGGGAAACATAGTAGAAAGAATGAGAAGGATAACAGTAATACTAGGTAGACTGACAGTGTTGTGAGAATTAGTTGTTTAGCAGAGTGATAGTATGGGGGGGGGAACTGTCCTTGTGTCTCATTGTTTTGGCATGCAATGTCCTATAATATCAATTAAGCATAAGTAAGTTGAAATGTTAATTTATGTTGCAGATAACTAGCACTAGAATGGCAAGATATTTTGAGTTTGAAATATTTTGAATCTAAAATTGTTTGTTCCATTTTGGAACTGCTTGAAACTCAATCTACTACCTTTTCAAAATCAAAATGTTTCCAGGAATTTCAATATTATTTTTATTTCTAAATATTTCTAAAACTTTTTCTATAGGCCTATTTAGAAGTATCTGAATAAGTTTTCAAAAAATTCTGAAATTTTCATAAAATATTGGGCATTGATCAATCCATTTCACTTTTTAAGCCAACATTTTTTAAGGCAACATAACTGAACAATAGACTACATACATTTTAACTGTGAACAAATTTAAAAACATAAGCAATACTTACTGTGATAATCTTAATTTTACATCGGAAACAGAATATTGTCCTTGGAATGGATGACTGAAAAGTGAGATAGGGCAGAAAAGAGAGAGAGAGGAAAAAAAAAGGTAAGCTGACAAACTATTTAATATACTATTTAATATAACTATGAGCATTATCTTTGTGTGAAATGGGATACATTAAAACTCTCTCTTCTCCTTAGGAATCATTAATCTAAGTCAGTGGTTCTCAACCTTTTTATACTGGTGACCCCGGTCATAAGGACGCGCCGCGCATGCGCGGCGCGCATGCGCGGTGCTGCCAGCGGAGGAAAAAATGGCAGATCGCGTTGTTTGGCGACCCCCGTGAAATGGTCATTCGACCCCAAATTGGGTCACGACCCACAGATTGAGAACCGCTGATCTAAGTATTTCCTGTCCCCAGCAACCAATCAAAAATTACTATTTTCTTGCCATGTTGCTTTGCTGTTTCAGTAACTGGCTAGATACTATTAAGGACAAAGGAAGTGGAACACTTTCTGGCTTATTACACAAGCCCAACAAATCAGGAATAACATGTTATATTTGCAGAACTTTTCTCAGCAGAAGAAACAAAGGAAGGTTTTACCACCAATGATTTTAAGCAAATATACTCCCAAATTATGAGAAGTTTATCACCATCACTTTCACTTTCTCACTTTCCATATAAATTGATATATTCTTACCTAGGATTTACTTCTGTGAGGGCTGGGTGTTTATTACTGTTCCACACTCTATAATTATGGGTATTTTTCCAAGCTGCTACAAAGGTTGTTCCAAAGTCAGACAATATTTTCTCACTATCTGCCAAATAAAATGAGTAAAGTGATTGTATTGCAATACTTTCTACCCTATAGGCATAACTACTGGCCGCATTCTGTTTTTAAATAAAAAAGTGTGTGTGTGTGTGTGTGTGTGTATGTATGTATGTATGTGTATGTATACACACACACACACACACACACATACACACACACACACACACACACACACACACACCTTCTGCTCAGTGAAAGATTACAGTGAGGGGAAAAATGATTTGATCCCCTGCTGATTTTGTACGTTTGCCCACTAACAAAGAAATGATCAGTCTATAATTGTAATGGTAATTTTAATAGTGAGAGACAGAATAAGAACAAAAAAAATCCAGAAAAATGCATTTCAAAAAAAGGTATAAAATTGATTTGCATTTTAATGAGTGAAATAAGTGTTTGACCCCTTTGTAAAACATGATTTAGGTGGCAAATCCCTTGTTGGCAATCACAGAGGTCAGATGTTTCTTGTAGCTGGCCACCAGGTTTGCACACATCTCAGGAGCGATTTTGTCCCACTCCTTTTTGCAGATCCTCTCCAAGTCATTAAGATTTTGAGGCCAATGTTTGGCAGCTCAACTCTTCTGCTCCCTCCACAGATTTTCTATGGGATTAAAATCTGGAGATGGCTAGGCTACTCTAGGACCTCAATGTGCTTCTTCTTGAGCCACTTCTTTGTTGCCTTGGCCGTGTGTTTTGGGTCACTGTCATGCTGGAATACTCATTCATGACCTATTTTCAATGCCCTGGCTGAGGGAAGGAAGTTCTCACCCAAGATTTGACGGTACATGGCCCAGTCCATCGTCCCTTTGATGCGGTGAAGTTGTCCTGTCCCCTTAGCAGTAAAACACCTCTAAAGCATAATGTTTTCACCTCCATGTTTGATGGTATGTATGGTGTTCTTGGGGCCACAGGCAGCATTCCTCCTCCTTCAAACATGGTGATTTGAGTTGATGCCAAAGAGCTTGATTTTGGTCTCATCTGACCACGACACTTTCACCCAGTTCTCCTCTGAATCATTTAGATGTTCATTGGCAAAGTTCAGACGGGCCTGTACAAGTGCTTTCTTGAGCAGAGGGACCTGCAGGCTCTGCAGGATTTCAATCCTTCACGGTGTAGTCTGTTACCAATTGTTTTCTTGGTGACTATGGTCCTTGCTGAGATCATTGACAAGACCCTCCTGTGTGATTCTGGGCTGATTCCTCACCATTCTCATGATCGTTGAAATTCTACGAGGTGAGATCTTGCATGGAGCTCCAGACTGAGGGAGACTGACAGTTATTTTGTGTTTCTTCAATCTGCGAACAATTGCACCAACTGTTATCACCTTCTCACCAAGCTGCTTGGCGACAGTCTTGTAGCCTATTCCAGCTTTGTGTAGGTTTACAATTGTGTCCCTGACATCCTTGGACAGCTCTTTGATCTGGGCCATGGTGGAGAGTTTTGAATCTGATTGATTACTTCTGTAATCAAATACTTATTTCACTTATTAAAATGCAAATCAATTTATGACTTTTTTGAAATACATTTTTCTGGATTTTTTTGTTGTTATTCTGTCTCTCACTGTTAAAATAAACCTACCATTACAATTATAGACTGATCATTTCTTTGTCAGTAGGCAAATGTACCAAATTAACAGGGGATCAAATAATTTTTTCCTTTACTGTAGTTTATTCCGAAAGGGCTAATTTTGAAACAGAAGAACTATCTGAGATTTGGTGATAAAACAGGAATGAAGGCAGATGATTTTTTTTTTCTATGTAATCTTCCTTTAATAAGGAGGGGGCAGAACCAATTTGAATTTAGAATTTAAATATATTAACAATTTTATTTCACTTTGGTAGCATAAAACCATCACAAGACTAATGGATACAGAAACATCTAATCAAAAAGGAACAAAGCTGCTTGAAAAAGTTGATAGTTTTTTATGACTATATTTTTCCTTCATATCCCAAAATATGCATGATTTAATTTTAAATTATGCTGATCATACATGCTACAGAAAATAGTTTCTTCTCTGAAAGGGCTACTGATGATGACTCTCTATCCAAACAGAAATGGGATTGATGTGAATTTTTGAATGTAATGAGCAAAGGCATAAACTTATTATTATTGTTATACGGTATCTTCACACTCAAAAAAGTAAACACATCATTTTTATTTTACAAAATTCAAATCACCCATTATTCTATCCAGAGGAATATAAATACCCAAGCAAAAGAGTTTTGCAATTATTCCATTGGGCTTGAAGAACTAAAACAGTTTATTTTCATGTATTCTGAGCATAATCTCTCTCAGCATAGGACTATTTAAGAAGAGCTTTAACAATATTTTAATTCAGCAATCTTTACTAGTGAGAATTCTATGTTGCTGTGTCATAGAAAACATAGCCCTTTTCTTTAAATTTCAGACCCTTTGTGGTAAGGATTACAAATAAAATGGTTAGATACAGACTTAAAGGAAAAATTAAAGGTATAAGTACAGACTGGGCGTGACCTGGCTTAAAAACAGTAACTATGAGAGGAAACTTGGGAGTCCTAGTGGACGATCACTTGACCATGAGCCAGCAGTGTGTAGCAGCAGCCAAAAAAGCTAATACAATCCTGGGTTGTATAAACACAGGCATAGAATCAAGATCATGCAAAGTATTAATACCGCTTTATAAAACCCTAATAAGACCACACCTGGAATACTGAAGCCAATTTTGGCCACCATATCACAAAAAAGATGTTGAGAGTTTGGAAAAAATTCAGAGAAGAGCAACTAAGATGATCAAAGGCCTGGAGACTAAAACATACAAAAAATGGCTGCAGGACTTGGGTCTGGCTAGTCTAAAGAAAAGAAGAAATAGGGGAGACATGATAGCAGTTTTCCAGTACTTGAGGGGCTGCCACAAAGAAGAAGGGGTCACGTTATTCACCAAAGCACCAGAGGGCAGGACAAGAAACAATGGTTGGAAACTGATCAAAGAGAGAAGCAACCTGGAATTAAGGAGAAACTTCCTGACAGTGAGGACAATTAACCAGTGGAACAGCTTGCCTCCAGAAATCGTGGGCGCTCCATCACTGGAGATTTTTAAGAAGAGGCTAGACAGTCACTTGTCTGAGATGGTATAAGTTCTCCTGCTTAAGCAGGGGGCTGGACTAGAAGACCTCCAAGGTTCCTTCCAGCTCTATTCATTTCTATTTATATTCTATTCTAAACATTTAGAACAGATGCATTGAAATCAGTGGAAAAGTTAGTAATAACCAAGTTAAATTTAATCAATTTCAGCTAGTTTACTCCAGAGGTTTTAACCATGACTAAATGTAGATTAATCCAGTGAAGGCAAAAATTGGTTGATTAGATTGCAAGGGCAGTTGAGATGAACTTTGTGCAGAACACTGAAGTATTATGTCTCATAGTAGCACAACACCATGCCACCCATAGTTTATGCACAATCAATTTAGCTTCTAAAAAGTCACTTTCAGAATATAAAATCCATTCAGGAGGCATTCAAATTTTTAGATGGCAACTGATAGGCTAATTAGTCATGGGTATATAAGCGATCAATAATTTTTAACAGGGAAATGTCTTTCAATCAATAACTAAGCTGGCCATATCCCACTCCCTGGATTTTTTTCAGCCCTCCCTTCCTAGATCCTCCTAGACAATTACGAAGTATTTTGTAAGATGGTTTAAACTTGCAGATCTAAATATTCCAGAACTTACCTGGCTCTACTGTTGCAGCAAGGAGGGCATGGAGATATGAGCCAAACTGGGCTCGAATCCACTCATCCCCTCCTTCCCAGCCAGTGCCATCCAGGAAGACGTCATCCCTGTTTTCAGTTACATGCTTCACTAAGAAATCTGCAAATCTCAGGTCAGCTGTTGTAGGATTTAAGACCTTCCTCAGGTCTGGGTCATGGATTTGGACAAGAGCTTCCTCAATCTGATTGAAAACAATTCAAAGTGAAAAAACTTTGGGGTAGTGATGGTGGTTGAAACAAACTGTATTGATAAACATAGGCAAGTTATTTCCATCTTACCAAAAACTACACTGTAATTAATATCTAGTGCTATATTATTGGACACAAATATATACATGCATAATGTAATATAAATGTTTATGTTGGCTTTTGAATTTAATAGTATATGCAATCATTTGTACCTATTTATTTTTTCCAATTTCTAAAAGTAAGCAAACTTTCTTTTTCATTTTGTATGGAAAGATTTCAGAATGCATCAGAAATTCATTACAGTCTGGGCAACCTGATTCTCCTGTGCTCACATTCAATTTTATCAAACCAAGAAGTGGAAAGCTGGTGGTAATGTAAAAGCTCTCCAAGAAACAGTAACTATCAAGAAACTTAACTATTCAATGATTTACAAGGAGTTATGAAAGCTTACTTTAAGAAACAATACACAAGTTTGTAATGTGCCAACTAGCTCCTAATACAATCTTTTTTTTTAGATCTTTGATTAAAAAGGTACATTAGTTTAATTTTGGTATTTCAACAGTGACTAAATGCAGTCTTGAAAAGATTGTTTTAAACATGTTCACTATCTCTTATTGATAAATTTATCTACAAAGAAAATCTTATTTACGCACGTGTGCATGCATGTACAAACATACTTAAACACACATAAGGAAGTATATCATTTGCCTGCCATGTGATTATAAAAATGGTATCTTTCCAAAATCTCAAAATTATTTTTTATAAAAATCTTTTTAATTAGAACCTTATAATTCATAATTTGTCTTAATTTGCTCCATGAGGTAATTACTATAAGAAATTATAAAGAAAAGGATACATACCTCTACAATAGCATCACTCAGATGTTTCTGCTGATGGAAGAGGATATTGGTGGCTCCTGCAACAAAACCGCGGATTGTTACATCAGAAAGAAGGTGGTGCTGTTGCAGCGCCATGTATGGCAAGCAAAGGTATCCCTAAAATAAACAAAAATATTAATTATGGATGAAATTATAATTTAGAAAGACAGAAGGACTAATTTTAATGTACAGTATAAAAGAAATGATTATAATTTACTGCATTGGCCATCAATTATTTACCACTCTGGAATTTTTGTTTAAAAAAACCACAATAGATGATTGTCCCAAAGATGCTTTTTCATGAGGCAACTGGACTTTCTCATTTTTCTTTGAAGACACTACACTTCTTCAGCTCTGACTGGATGGTGGGGAATGGAAAGATTTATACTCCTGCAGACAGCTGGTCATTTGCATTCTTTTAGTGAGTTGTTAAAACTACCTGGAGGCCTATCTGTATCTTCAGGGTCACCTGAGTGGCACAAATGGCTGTGGAGCCTTCTTGGAATTGTTGAAAGGACTGTATTGTAGACTGGAGAGAGATGATGTCAGATCCCTCCCTCTCTTTTGAGAGAGGGCTGTTCAGTTTTGACATAGATGGCCTCTTTGACCCTTCTTTCAAACCAGCAGTCCTCTCTATCCAAAATGTGGACTTTGCTATGTTCAAAAGAGTTGCCTTTGTCTTTTGAATGCAGATGGACTGCTGACTCTTGTCCTAATGGGTTTGTTCTCCTACATTGTGCCATACTTTTATAAAGTGGTTGTTTTGTTTCCGCAATGTGCAGATCTGCACATGACTCACTGCATTGTAGTGCATATATCACGCTGCTCAGTTTGTGTCTGGATGTTTTATCCTTGGGGTGGACAAGTTTCTGCCTTAGTGTATTCCTGGGTTTGAAGTGTGCATGTATGTTGTGTTGACTGAAGATCCTCCTGAGGTTTTCCAATATTTCTGCAACATATGGAATGACAACATTGCTTCGTTTATTTTATGGAGGAGCTCCGGCTGGGTCCTTTTTGAGATTGGATGAAGATCCACTTGGGATAGCCAAAGGTTCTGAGGACTTCCTTGATGTGTTTTAGTTAGTTTTCTTTCCCATCTTTGCTGGTTTCTTTATTGCTGGCAAGGTAGGGCTGGCTGGGAAGCCTGACAGTCAGTGAGTGAGTCTAGAGGGAGGGAGCCCTTGGGGACATATCAGAATGGGGAGCTGGGCTGAGCTTTTCTCATGGTCCACAAGTCCCTTGGTTCCCCCTCTCCCCAACAAAGTGTCAAACAGTTCTGTATATTAATTTAGGAAGAGGCGATAGTGGAAGAGGATTCACTGGCTATCTTCTAAGGATTATGAGTGGAGGGAAAATGACACAAGTCTACATTATATGTGGAAAGAAGAATGAACTAATAGGTCATGGGTTGTCCAGTCTGAAATAAAAGAGAGGAGTTTCTTCTGTTTTGTTCCATGACTATGGAATATACTTCTCCAGGAGCTATGTTAGTCCCTATTCTCTCTAAATTTAAAATAGCAACCAGATAGAATTTTTTAAAATGAGTTTTCAGTTGTTAATTGTTTATATAGAAGTGACAGATATTATTTTGTTTTTCATTTATTGATACCATGTTTCTCCAAAAATAAGACTGGGTCTTATATTTATTTTTGCTCTAAAACAGTGGTTCCAACCTTTCTAATGCCGCGACCCCATAATACAGTTCCCCATGTTGGGGTGACCCCCAACCACTTATACATCATCGGGTGCCAGGGACGTAGCCAAAGAAAAGGGGGAAAAATGCGAACAGCCTTGTTTGGCGACCCCCGTAAAATGGTCATTCGACCCCAAATGGGGTCTCGACCCACAGGTTGAGAACCACTGCTCTAAAAGATCCATTAGGACTTATTTTTGGGGATTGTCTTATTTTGGGGGGGGCGGAGGTGCCCCATGCGCTCTGCAGGCTGGGCAGTGCGCACCTCCCCTGATCTGTGCAGCTTCAGTGGGTATCTGGCCGGTGGAGGCAGGCGGCCATGCGGAGCGTCCAGAGGGCCAGTGCCATGAGATGAGGTAGGTAGCAGAGGGAGCTGTGCCATGCATCCCCCAGGCTGGGTGGTGCGTATCTCCACTGCCCTGTGTAACTTTGGTGGGTGTCATAGTTGTGAGTGTTGTTTTTATTTGTTTCCGATTTTCCACCTTCGTCCCTTATGGGGCTCTTCTGTCTTGGCTGCAATTGCTGTTCAACCGACCATCCTCGTGTTGAATGTACGGGGGGAGAAGGGAAGGGGAGTTCCTTTTTATTCAATCTTGATCGGGTCGTCATTTCAGAGCAATTGGAAGGTGGCTCATCCTCGCAACTACTTTCAGATTTTACTATGTCTCGTTTGTTCTGCAATTTCACGAATCTTATTCCATTGCTTTGCATATTACCTTTCCGTTCTAAGGGGAGTCTACTTTCAGGGTGTTGTAGGGAGTCATGCAATGACTGTTTGTTAGGATTGGTGTGTTGATGGCTAAAAGGTAGTTGCATGCTTGTTGGTGGGGAGCTGTCAATTAGAGCTCCGTTCGTATGATCAAGTGGAGAAGGGTGGGAGGTCAGGGTGTTGTCCTTATCACGGTTAAATGGTTTGTAATTGATTCTGCACACCAGGCTTTAAGAACGTTGAGCGCTGGATGCCAATCCAACTTCCAAAGGAGACTCAGTTACAACACTCACAGGCAACAGACTAAGCAACGGAGTACTGTCAATGAGGTCGTAACAAATGACACTCTGGGCATGCGCGAGAGAAGCGATGCCGGAACGAATAACAGACCGTTAAGGACAACACATAAGAGAGAGGATAAGAGAAAGAATAACATGAAATGGAAGGAGGAACTTACACCGTGGCTCAAAGAGATAAATAAACAAAAGAAAAATGGACCCAAAACCCACAGGAGCACGGAAAGTAACTCAAACACCCCCCACCCCTCAGAGAAAGCCACACACAGGACGATAGAGGAACTATATACAAGGGAGGAGAAAGTACCCCCAGCCTAAACCCACCTATCTCCGAACTAGTAGATAAAACAACGTATAAGGGACTCAAACAAAAGAAAGGAATATGCGGTAACTTAAGAAGTACACTTAAAACGCAACCTGATCAGCTGGGTCCAACAACATGCTCCGGGAACCAGAGACAGGCATTTAACCACTATATGAGATTTCTTTCAGCTTCTGCCTTTTAACCCTGATGATGTCAAGTGTATTTGACGAAAGCTTGGTTGATTAAACTTTTATTTCTTAGATTTTCTCTTGATGATCATTATTTTAATAAAAATGGAAATTCCCAAGTCAAATTTTTACTTGTATTTTTAATATACATATATATATTTTAATACACACACACACAAATATATATATATCAATAATGGTATTAAAAACAAAAGACTGATTCCTGGGTATGTTCATTTCAAATAGCTAAAAAGCATGAGCACCAGGAAAATTACAAAACTATAAGTTTAATTCAATAAAACACCAAGCCTTCGTCAGCAGGGGGTGTGTACGCGTTCCCAAAGAATAAGGGAACGGACGGACAGCAAAGGAGGGACGACTAATGGGCCGAGGACTCTGCTGGATCCCCTGCGTGGGGAAGATGGGAGGAGCCGACTTGAGGGGATGATGAAGCAGACATGCCCGGGAATTCATCCCATGTCGGCGGCCCAATTGAGGCAACGGGGACCACAGGTTGATGTCCGCGACATCCCAGGAAGTGCTGTCGCTAGGAGTGGGGAAAAGGGGAAAGTGGGTGTTGGAAGGGATAGCAGCCGTGAGATTGACAATTGTGCTGGTGAAGGGGGAGCAGGGACCAAGATGGAACACTTGGGGTGAAGCTCCACGGTAGGAAGGATGACAACGGGAATGTGAATGACGGACATGGAAGGGGGGAAGGAGGGAGAGAGTATATTGAGGTGGAGCGCCCCAGGGAGGGGTGTGAGAAGAAAGAGCAGTTTAGGGTCGCGGAGCTTGCGTCCGACCAAAAAAGGAAGGGGGAGAATCCTCTGAGCTTACGATCATACGAGGAGGGGGGAATAGGCAGTAACACACATGCAGGCAAGAAAAGTAAAGAAAATGCAGTTAGTAACACGGAAGCTACGACTAAAGTGCAGATTGGTCGGTTAGGACCCGTGATGAGATCTAGGAATCGGGCGCAAACAGCGTCTCACCTATAAATGAACTCCCCCATTGACTAGAATGTACCTGATGATGTTGGCAGCTGCCAACAAAAGCTTGGTGTTTTATTGAATTAAACTTTTATAGTTTTGTAATTTTCCTGGTGCTCATGCTTTTTAGCTATTTGAAACACACACACACACACACACACACACACACACACACACACACACACAGAGACACATACATGTAGGTCTTTGGTTATTCGAGTTTTCTCCCGCGTAAAATTGGAAGTGTCTTGGCAACGTTTCGATGAAGTCCCATTCGTCATCTTCAGGCTGGTGTTTTCAGCTTTGTGCTAGCACGTGCAAGCACGAAGATGAAAACACCAGCCTGAGGATGACGAATGGGATTTCGTCGAAACGTTGTCAAAACACTTCCAATTTTATGTGGGGGAAAACCCGAATAACCAAAAATCTACATACAAACACCCGCAAAAACCTCAGAAAACAAACACTCACACACAGACATGTTTCTACAACAATCCCTACTTTGCAATTACTCATACTGAGAAAGACTTTCAAATGGTAATGAAGACTTAACCATGAAAAAAATTCACTCTAACTCATTATGGACTGTAATAGAGGGAAAATATTTACAAATCTGGATATCAGGGTATTTTCCTTCCTTGCTTCTGTCCCAACTTGCCTACTTCATTCTTATTTCTGATGATCATACCACTACTACCACCACTACTGAATTCTTGACAAGCTAATCTATATTAAGTAGAGGCAATGCTTGTTGGATTTTCTATAAAACAGGTTTTTTTAAGCAATTCAAGTAATCACTTTCTGTAGGATGTAGAAATCATAGCACTCTTATATATAAAGCACATTGCAGTAGTCTAAGCATGAGATGACTAGTGACTGAGTGGAGGGACTTCTAATCCAGGAAAGTGCAACTGGTGCATAACAGTGAAGTTATACAAAGGTTCTTCTAGCTACAATTGCTAGAGTTGCAAATCCAGAAGAATTCTCAGATTGCGCACCAAGTCTGTTTGGAGTAGTGCAATCCCATCCAGAACTAAAGATGTTAAATTCTTGGAAGCTTTACACACTTAAAGCCACTCAGTCTTACCAGGGTTCTGCTGAAATCTATTCTCTCCCTTCCAGATCTCCATAGCCTCCAAGCACCGCAAATGGGCAGCAACAGCATCAATTGGGTCACCCAGAATGGAGATGTAAACAGCGTACTGATGGCACCTCATCCCATGGTGGCAAATGATTTCACCCAGTGATTTCATGTAGTTGTTAAAAGAAGTGGAGAGAATACAAAACCTGCAGCATGCCACAAAGGAGCAGCTGAGGACTGAACCTTTCACTCCTTATAAACACCAATTGGGACTGGTCTTGGAGAAAGGAGCTAAACCAAAGCTAAACCAGCCAAGACTTTGTCAGCCAGTTCCAAACACCTTTAAACAAGATAAGTGGTGCATAAATCACTCTCTCTCTCTCTCTCTCTCTCTCTCTCTCTCTCTCTCTCTCTCTCTCTCTCTCTCTCTCTCTCTCTCAAATAAATAAATAAATCCCATAGCTGCCCCAAAAGGATGCCATAAGTCAAAAGATCAAAAATGGGTTCTTTATCCTGCTCTTGCCAGAGATCATTCACAACTGCACTGTAACTGGGCCTGAAATTTTACTAGAAGGGATCCAGATAATCTGTTTCACCCAGGATCCTCTGAAGGTGCCAAGCAACCATCTTCTCTACCACCTTTCCTAAAAAGGAGATGGAAGCTGTCCAGACAGGTGGGTTTAAGAGATGGTTTTTTAAGGCCTCCTTAAAGAGTCCCAGAAATATCCCCTCCTGCAGTGAAGAATTTATTACTGCCTGAACCCATCTATCCTGGAGGCTTTCACCAACCAGAAGGGATAGCGATCTAATTGACAGGTGGTTACACTGACAGCATGATAACCTAGTTTATCTTTAGTTACATTGTTAACAATAAATCCATATTTCCTGAAGTTTCTTTTGTTTTTATCAAATATTTATTATAGTGGTATATTGGTATAATATTGTTTTCATTGTTTATTTGTTTTCATTTGGTGTTTGGATTTTTAGGAGAGATGTTTACATTAAGGATACGTTAAAGAGAGATGTGGTGGCAAACATTTTAGAAACCCCTGCTCTAAGGTCAATTTATTTAAAGGATTTCCAGAAGCTGGACATTACTGGCCTTGTTAGGATATATTTCCAGGATAGTTATAATTAAAAATCTATAGTGTGCTTAAGTTCATTTCCTTTTTAATATGTTTATTCATTCCATCAATACATTAATATAAAATATGCAGGTCTGATTTGATACCCTCACTTTTCTATAATTGTGATACCCTAAGTTATTCAAAACATTTTATGATCTATATCCCTGGCATTCTTCAAAAATGAAACTATTGGAGTGACAGAGCTCCTAAAATTACAGAGAATTGCTTATTAGTTACTAGAGCAGATGAAGGCAACTTCAGCATCTTTTAATCTTCAAGCTTCCTTCCGGTGATCCCTTGTCTATAATTACTCAAAAGTGTTAATATAATTTCCTGTCATTCTGAAGTAATATAAATACACATATCCCTGAAAATATTAAGTTAGGAACTTCTAAACCATTCCTGCTTACACATAAATTGGCCTACCTTCTATGCACCTCTTTGTTCCTGAAAAATGTTAAAAATAGCATTTGGTAACCAAATGTTTGCCCCCCTTTATATTACAAAAATTACCTTGGTGAAGATAGCTAATGGCATACCATACTGATCTTCTTCCAAACCAGAAATAAGTCCAGGTACAAGGACTGTGTGTCCTGTATTAGGCTGAGGCTGAATAGTAATTGGAACGCTTTTGGAAATCACTGATTCCTGCAGAAGAAATTCAGTCTGTCCTGCTACTGAAGTAATTTCACATTCTCCTTCTTTCAAGTTAGGGTCCTCTAGGAGATTGGGATCTAAGGTTTCCCAGTCACTTTCAGAAGATTCTGGAGAAGTGTGTGAAGAAGGTTTCAAGTACTGTCCATGGTCCTGGGAGACATGAAATTCACAGGGTTGATGCTCAACTTGAAATAAAGGTACATTTGCTCTCTGAGTATCTCTTTCTTGGTTTCTTGATAATTTTTTGCCTTCCCCAACTGTGTCAAAATTAGCATTTGAAAGTGTCAGAGCAGACAAAGAAACACAGTAACTAGAAGGAGGAGAAACTTCTTGTCCAACTTCCTCTGATGTACTTTTTCTTGGTCGGTACTGTGAGCAATCAGTAAGACCATGTTCTATCATACCTGGAATTTATTTAAAAAATTATAAATGAGGTTAATAGATTCTATATAGGAGCAATCATCAATTTATATTGGAAACTATGCTAAGATGAAAACTACAGTTAATTGCCAAATACAACACACCCATGATTCTTTCTAGTCTTTCAGAAAGTTATTTTTCAATGAAGAAAATAACTATTGGTGTAACTGAGTAGATGTAGGGGAATTTGGAGATAATTTTAATGAAGGGACATAAGAACTGTTATAAGAAAGCAAACAACAATCCGGTCTTTATTATTGGCTTAGAAGAGGACATACAGTAACTTTCAAGTTAGATGCCATATAGTAACTTTCAAGTTTAAGTATGGTAGAGTTCCAGAAATCCTTGTGTTATCTATACCATGACCCAGCCTGCCTTGAAGGGCTGACAGCAGTTGTCACAAATTCCTCAAAATTTCCACTTATGTAGAATTCTCAAGTATGACTCCTAATAATGATTCTAGCACTAAACCCCATGATTGAAGTTCTTATTGTTACAAGCTTAGCAAAAAAGATTCTATTACAAGCCTTCTGCTGGTCACAAATATTTCCGAGTATCATCCCTACCCAAAAGAAAGGCAAAGATTTTTCCCTTGGGAAGGAATGTTGTATTATACTCACTAAAATATTCAAATAAATGGGAGAAAGTACAAATGGCTGCATATATTACTACAAAAATGCTTTTGAAAACTAACCTGAAAATTAGTCATGGATTGGGTGGGTTATTTGCTTTCTGAATTTTTAGCCCTTTCTGTAATTCTGAAACACATTTTTGTCACTTTCCCCCCCCCGTGCAATTGTATTTTCTCCTTGCATCTTTTCCAACTAGTTTAACTGCCCTTTTCTTCTCTTCCTCATGAAACTTGCATATTTTCTGTACCTTTTAAGGCTGATTCTATCAGAAGAAAGGAAGGGAATATTGGTGAATGTACTTGTATGTTTTGGGTATGACAATGACTTGTGTGAGAATAACTGGTTGTATAATTATTGTAGATCAATTAAATACAATAGAATACCTTGTTTTACAGGCAATATTTTTTATCAAGTTATTAGCTGAATTAGTATTAATATTTTTTTGAAATAGTACTAAGACTTTTGGGGCTATGTTTTCTTAAAGGGTTATGCACATATACATTCACAAAGAGGTATCATATGCCAGAGACAGTCTTTAGGACTGAGTTTTATGTTGTTGACAATTTAAACTGACAAGATCGGGAAGCTGGACATTGCACATGATTTTTGTCTACATTTATCTTTCCTGTCTATTCTTTGTTCGGGGGAGTTGCCATTTAAAATTCAGAATGGATTTCAAGTAAACAAATTAAATTAAGAATGGCTATGATTTTAGGTAGCATTTTGATAGGAACATACACATTACACACTAACCAGGAAATAGTGATAAGACAGTCATTAATGCTCCCACCAGCCGATTAACTGGAGAGATATAAAACAGAACCTGAAAAGAAGCAGCGGGAAAAATAGATCAGTAGTATATGATCTGAAAAGAAATCAGAGTATAACTGGAGCAATCAAACTCCTCCCTTTAAAGCAGCAAGATGTTTATATCAAATAACTGTCCCAAACATCCAAAGGGCATTAAGCTTAGCACGCTGCAACGCACTTCCCACAGCAGGTTAGGAGGGCCAATATAAACAAAATACCCTATGAGGCGAGACTGTCCTCCTGCGAACAAAAGGCCATTGAACTATAGCTCATGCCCTGCTATACTGCTTTTTCTATAAGGATTCATGGACTCAACATCTTACCCAAAATAACTGGGAAATACTGATCTTTTTTATGTGCAACTACTGTTATCAGATCGGTATGAAGTAGTTTTTCTGAATGTGGCCAAATTCTGCTATGCTGTATATAAAATTAGGCAAAATTTAACTGCCCACTGTTAATCCACCACCAATCGCAATGTATTATTCTGTCTTTTATTTTTTTTACTATTATTATCATTTTAATGCTTTTTTTTTGCTGGCCATAATAAAGATTGATTGGTTGATGATGATCAGTAGTATCTATTTACTTATATTTCAGCCATTTTTAACACAAATGTTTTAATGTGCAACCTACACAACAACAACAACAAACAAAATATGCTGCAATCTGTGTTATTACTTCTTGAAAATTTTTGCATTCTATAGCTTAAAGCAATGTGACTGTTTGATAAAAGATTGTGTAAAATGTTAGGCCCTTGTTTGTGACATGATAATGTTTATTCCATTTCTTTGGCAAATTAAGCAAGACCTGGGTATAACTGTGAGCATTATCCTGTCCATAGACTGAAGCTATGGACAGAAGATATAATGTAGCTTTTAAAAACATAATCAGCTTCTTGGGCCATAATTTGCACAAATGTTCCAACTCAATAGTTCCCACCTTTCCACTTTGGCAGCATGGCCCAGGGTATATGAGTGGCAGGTGCACTTGTGCACAGCTCCTAGTGCAAACAGCAGGTATGCACACCCTCCACATGCACAAATGGAGCTTCATGGGTAAACGAAGGGCCTTTGTGCTTGTGCACAAAGCCCACTCACACAAGTGCTTGTGCTTGTGTACGATGCTCCAATTGTGTGAATGGAGAGTGGTTGTGTACAAAGTTCCACAAGTGCCCTCTGCTCGCACGAGTGGAGCTTTGAGGGCCCACTGCTCTTTCAAGTGGAGCTGCATGCACATGCACTTGCCTGCCATATGTGTGAGTGAAGCTTTACATGCGCACGCTTGCCTATCACTTGTGCGGCCTGGTTTGAAATAGGCCTCGGCCCAATAGTGGGTGGTGGCCTGGGGGTTGGGGACCCCTATTCTGTTCAATGCATTGTCTTCCCTAAGCTGCATTATGATGTAGCATTATGGACCATTATGCAGCGATTTACATAAAAACCTAGTAGAGAGCTTTAGATACCAATTGTTGGAGCATATGTTCTGGAAGATAAGCTGTTACTTTGATTACTACAACATTTTTATTATGAATACACTTTTCCCTTTTAGATTCAACTACAGAGTTTTATTTCTTCTACTCTCTGTAATGAATATATTTTACATTTTCAGACTACAGGCTTCGGTAGATTTTTAACTATGTTAAGATAAGGCCTGTTATAGATTATATTCTCTTGATCAACAATCAGGATCGACAGAGGATATATGTTGTATGCTAAACATACGAAAGACCTCTTCTGTACCAACATTTAAAATACCACTATAAATATGGCTCCTCCCGTTTTTTGGATTGGTATCTTTTTGGATTTTTTTGCTTCTGTAAGTTTGAGAGAAAGTTTGGTTGCTGTTCTTTCCAGGGAACATTGTGAACTTTTATTTTTCATTGTATTTTTTTGTTATGTGCTATGACACTCAGAGTCCAAAGAGGTGGGTAGTCTAAAAATCTGATTAATAAATAAGTAACATAAATCAGGTTGGCTATCACTACTGGATATCTGTGTGTCTGTTTACAGAGAGGAAGCAAGAGAGTTAATTTCACCAGCAAACTATAACTTATGGTAAAATAGCAAATGACATTGATAGAAATATTAATGTCTATAGCAAATAAATGAAATAAGCACCTCTCCATCCTGGCTAACTGCATAATGGAATAATGCATCTCCATAAGGTATTAATGAAATAATGTTAGTCAAGTCATTTATTTTGTCTTTTAGGAAATATGGGAATAATCTTACCTTCTTTTCTAGAAGAATCAACTTAAAAATAATTAAAACCTTTAAAACATAAAGAAAGACAGATCTTAAAACATTAGTAGTCCAGCAATAAGTGACCCTATGCTTAAAATATTCAGTATCATGTCAATGTGCAATATAGATCCAGAGAACTTTTATTTATTTATATCTGTAACTACATGTGGTTTTCTTTAAGATTCAAAGAAGTGGAAATAATTATGCACATTTCAATTTTACAATATACCTTGTGTCTAAATTGAAGAACAAGATCTCGTGGGGATAGGCCTAAAAACAACAGAGAGGAAAATGTCACATTTCAATAAAATTTCATTTCAATTTCCAATACTTGGAAATCTTCTAAGTAAGAGTCTTACCTGTTTCCATTTATTGTACATATGAATTCATTTTCTGGGGTGGTAGAAATGCATTACTTTGAACAGTTATTTGGATAATATCTCTTTATATAAAACATCAAGCTTTCACAACCTAAGATTTTCTAACTCTGCAGTCAGATGGATGAATGTAAAGAGCCTTCATAAATAAGCAGCTAGAGTGAAGGTCTGCCTCATTATTCATTCTACCATGAGAAGCATCCTTAAGTACTGGATTCCTACCACTAATAAGAAAAAAAGTGATTTTATTATTAACCAATTGCATTTTATGTTTTCTTTGATTAGTATTGCTTTGAAACATGGGGCAGGTTTAAGCCCTAGTTTTGGGGTGAGGTGCACGCCTAAAAATCAAGCTAGGGTGGGGATGGGGGAGGTGGAGCTGCCCCACGCGCCTCGCACCTGCTTACCGTTGCAGCCAGGCCTCCCGTGAATTGATACCTGCCTTGCCTCATTGGCCCACTTCTTTTGCGGTTCCTCCTAGCCTGCATTTTGCCGTCAGAGGCCTTTCTGGAAGGCTTCTGATGGCGAAATGCAGGCTGGAGGGAGGGGCGCCGTGCATGTCAATCCAGAGCTCCATTCTAAGCTACAGAGGCATTTCCTTTGACTGTGGAAGAAGTGAACCGGCTGACCAAGGCTGTCAGTGCCGCCCCCCCCGAAAATAAGACCTGGTACCTCTTTTGGAGGAAAAAAAAATAAAAAATAAGACTGGGTCTTATTTTGGGGGAAACACGGTATTTCTCATCACTGACCATTATATTATTTACTTAATAATATAAGTAAAAATACTCCAAAAGTATTATTTACTTAATATAATGAATATTTTGGAGAAGAGATGACTTTGTTGGCCATTTGTATTTTCCTTTGTGTAAACCTGATGCAATAATCTATTGTCATGCACTGTAAATTGATTTGGATTCATTATACATTAGAGAAGCTTGCTGGCAGTATGAATTAAAGCAGGAAGAATAGGATAAACAATTATAGTGAAAAAGTCAAGATATTTTATTTGTCTTTAAAAGTGACTTGGATTTTCAATTTTCATATCAAGTCGTTCAAGAGAAAAAAGGAAGGAAGATTGAACAACCTGTTTCAATAACACATTTAATACTTTGGTTGTGATTTCTGAAAACTATTTTGTAAGAAATCCTTAGAAAGAAATTGAAATGCAAAAAACACCCTGAATGAACATAAAACCTAATATTTTATATGATAATATAATTACACAATAGCTTCACAAATGGGAAAGATAACCAAAATAAATGATATTTTTTTCAGACTTACAAGTTTGGTATTAAGCTTTATATGTAACAAAATACTTATAAAAATTGGAAGTCTTATGTTACCAAATATAGCTTACCAAGATAAACTTGTGACCCTTCCAGTGAACTCCCTCCCAGTGAGCTATTCATATGTTCATAAAGTTCCTGAAAAACCATAAAATGTTGAAAACATGAGCATCCTTTATTAAAAGTAACTTTATGGACAAAAGGAAAAGGTCTATTTTATATAAGAAAAATCTTCCAAAATATTTTTTCCAAGAGATCTAACTTTTTTTGAGTCTCTAAAGATATAGTTATCAATCCTTTAGAATCCTGAGGTCCAGAACTGCTTTAGATGAAGGTTTAATGGAATTTTGCAAATATATTGCATACAGTATGCTACTTTGCAAATATTTTGTTCACATGGCTTTCAAAAATATCACTAAGTAATAGTTTCCAGCAGTTTTTAGAGGGAGTATTTTTTCAGAAAGCAATCTCTCTCTCAAAAGCATGCAGAACTGGTTGTCAGATTCTTGCTAAAAACCTCCTTCTAGCTTATTAACAATGGACACCATATTGGATCTAGAGTTTCTCTTTTGTAAATAAAGGTAATAGGAAATTAACATTCAGCAGGCCTGAATGTTTCAGGGCTATGTGAGCCCTGCCACTCCCAGCTGACATTTGCATCTTCTTCCTTCTGCTGCTGCTGCTGAGGCATGACCAGCTTGGCCCTTTGCAAAGCATTTGCTGTTGTACCAGGCCCATGGTGGTGAACCTATGGCACGCGTGCCACAGGTGGCACGCAGAGCCCTCTCTGTGGGCATACGCGCCATTGCCACAGTCCTAGATCTTCAGCTGGGTTTTATAAAACTTTTTTGCTTTAGGCTTCTGCCGCCATGTGCAAAAAAAAAAGGTTCAATCAATCAATTTCAACTTCTCGCGGGAAAAAAAAATCTCGCAAAATTGGAATTGATTGATTGAACTTTTTAGTCCCACCCAGTCTGCCATTACCATTGCAGCCACGCCCACCCAATGGGCCATGCCCACCCAGCACCCAACGATACATAAGTGGGTTTTGGGTTGCAGTTGGGACACTCAGTCTCTAAAAGGTTCACCATCACTGCACTAGGCCTTCTTCTTAAAGCTGTGACCTTCTTGCTTTTCAAATTAGACAAGGGCCACATGCAATTTGGACAAAGGCTACCAACTTTCCAAAGCACATCTGACAAAAATCAGAGCCAGCAGAGCACAGGGCGGCAGGATCTGCAGAGGTAACAAAGTACAGGTGGCCTAAAGGGCAAAGATGAGAGAGAGATAGGCAGGTAGGAGTTGAAATGTGCCTGTGGCCATAAGCGCAGATGGGCTGCCAAGCACCCACATTTTGAGGCACTGCAATGATCATAACTTTGGGAACCAGGCATTAACTAGCACTCATCAGTGTTACTTGTCATTGAACAAGTAGGTCATAAGATGAAGACAACTTATATTGCAAAAAATATCACTAAAGTGATCCTTCCAGTCTATTCTGATCATGGACACTGATAAGTGGATTTACTCTTTGATCAGCAATGGCTCTTCCATTCCACTTTTAATCTTACTGAACTCTCTCTCTCTCTCTCTCTCTCTCTCTCTCTCTCTCTCTCTCTCTCTCACCCAACCATTTGGAATCTTTCAAACAATTTTATTTTTGTTATTTAAACATACCTTAAGAATTGAAATTTGTGAGAAGTCTTTTTCTTCAAAGTAGGCATGTGTAATTAGCTGCAACTTAGCTTGAAGTAGCCCATATAGAGGCTTGCAAGAAAAAGAGCATCATGTTATATCAACAAAGACAAGCAAGGAGGTAATAATAACTGGCTCTATTCTTTAAAAGCAGATAAATTTGAATAATCTGAATACTTTGCATATTGTTCAAGCCATATATCATATGTAGTTGCAGCTGATTTATGAATATGAATTGGAATGGTCAATTATTCTATACAGTAACATCTGGCTTTCAAAGCAACACTGGTTCCAAATGTGCATAGATCTGTGTTTTTTATGAATGTGCTTTTATTCAAAACATTAGATAGTAATACAGTAAAATATGGGTAAAGTATCTCATTGTATTTCATTAAAGACAGGCATTGTAAAAGATTAACAAACTAGGAGAGAATATTATGGAAACAAGTATTTAGATCTAAATTAATTATGAAGGTCACTGAATTGTTTTGCTTGCCTTTTAATCTAACCCCTATTTTAATAGAATCATGCACCAATACAAGTTGATATAATCATGGAGGGAAGGGGATTTTTCCTGGGCTTGCATGCTAGCTGCATAATCTCTATTTTCCATATTTTTCAATCTAAACTACCTTAAGAGGCTGAGAAGTATTGTTGGAAGCATAAAATAGGGAGCAAGGAAAGAAAAAATAACAAAAGACCAATTCCAAACTCTGTTTTAGATTAACCTTTTCATAAACAATTCCTTCATATATGCACACACATACAGACACATAAATGTAAAATATATTTTATATGTATAAAATATATATTATATAAATATATTACATAAATAATTTCATACCCAACCATTATTCATTATCTTTTGAGCAGAGTTGCTAAGAAAGGCCAGGAATTAAAACGAGGGCCAGGAACTGAATGTCATTTTCTAACTTAGTTTCACATTTGTATCATGAGTGGAATTTAAAATTGGAAAAAGACTTTAAAGCAGTATACTGTGTTTCCCCAAAAATAAGACCTGGTCTTATATTATTTTTGCTTCCAAAAGAGGCATTAGGTCTTATTTTCGGGGGATGTCTTATATATTTTGTGATACATGCCTTGCCTTGTGGAGGCAGCACCAACAGCCCCATTCAGCAGGAGCCCACATGGCTGCCAGCCCATTTCTTCTGCAGCTGCTCATGGCAGGAGGCCGCATGGCACATCATGTTGCTGCCACCATGAGGCGAGGCAAGTGGGGGTGGGGGTAGATCTGCTCCACGAACCTGCTTACTTCAGCCCCCTCCCAGCCAGGCCATTCCTTGCTCGGTGACCTTCTCTTTCACTCCCTTCCCAAGCCAAACTGCCTTGCTACAGAGGATGGGCGGGGTAGGCCCAATCCCCCTCTGCCATTTCAGAGCCGGGGGGAGTGATGGCGAAAGGCTGTGCGCTGCTGGAGGGGCTTTCTTCATGCTTCGCTCCATAGATAATCTGCCTGGCAGCAGCTGCCTCCTCCTTCTCCTCTGCCAATTGTCCCATGGCTTGCGCCATGACTGGGCGGCGCAAGCTTCCCCTGCCCCTTCCCTCCACCAGCCCTCTGTCGCTGCCACTCTAGAGAATAGAGAATGGGGAGGGGAGTGGCTCCGCACTGCGATGCAGAGCAGAGCTCTTGCTTGCTGCCCTACATTATCCTGCATCTCCCTTCTCTGTTCTAGAAATGGCATTTTCTGCCGCTTTTCCTCCTGGCGCTGCTATAGAGTTTGGTGCACCACTGCCTAGCTCCTCTCTCTTCCTGAAAGCATTTCTTCACTAACCTGCTTTCCAGCTCTATTGCATTTCTCTCCTGCTACAGGGAAACAAAGTTTGTGGGACTAAAAAAAGTTCACTGAGACCTTCCAACTTCGCAAGATCATTTTTTTTTTTTTTTGGCGGATTAGCCTGACAGTTGTTGTGATTCTTCACCAGCCAGTGGATCCGGCAGCTGAGTCTGAGGACTCAGATGAGGAGGGGGGCCTAGAGTGACATTAGAGTCGGACGAGGAGCCTGGCCCCTCTAATCGCACTTGGGCTGAGTCACAGCTGTGCTAGGAGCCTGAGTTGGACAATGATGAGGAACAACTGGGACAAATCCCAGATGCATGAATACACAGACAGGAGAAGAGACAGAGGAATGCAATGGGGTGGCTCCAAAGGCAAAGGAGAAGGCATTAGGAAGCCATGCTTTGGCTGAATTATAAAAGGGGAAGGTGTGGGAGGTGCTGGTTGCCAAAGGCAACCGTTCATGCTGAGGATCAAGTTTCTCTGGACTGTGTTTGTTTGCCTTGGACTCAGGTCTGTAAGAATAAAAGGAATTGTTTTTTTTCTTGCGGTTCCTGCCTGTTTCTTGGAAGAGGGGTTTCTCCTTGTGAATACAACAGGGACTCACATAGGCTGGGTTTGCCTTCGGCCTCCTATCCCCTACTACCATGGAACAGTTACGTGCGGAGAATGCCCAGCTCTCCCAGCAGCTGGCTTTGCTAGCAGCTCAAGTTGCTCAGCTTCAAGCCTCTGCTCCTGCTGCTCCACAACCCCGACGGAAGTGTCCAGTCGCAGTGCCTGACAAATTCGATGGCACTCTGGAGATGTTTCCAGCTTGGGAGGCCAATCCCAGCACTTTATCAGCCAGAGAGCGGCTGACTTCCCCACTGACCATGATAAAGTAGGGTTTATGATCAGCCTTCCCTCTGGTGTTGCAGCTCGTTGGGCCACACCCGCTAGCCCAGCCTACTCCTTTGTTGGATATTTTTTGGGGGTTGTGTGACTACGTGCATCTTAAGACTGCTACTCGACTCTTGAAAGCTCTGAGGCAGGGCCGATGCCCTTTACAGGGATAGATCAGTGAGTTTTGGCTTCTTAGCCAAGATTCAGCCTGGAACGAAGCTGCACTCTTAGATGCTTTCCAGGATGGCTTATCGGAGGAGCTGTTGGCGAGCTGGCCTGAATCAATATTCTCCCGGACTTCAATGGGTTGATCCATGTCTGTTTGCGGATCAACACTCAGCTGCTGTAGCGTAGGAGTTGTCATGCCACCCCAGAGAACTGGGTGGCTCCGGTTGTGTGTGAGACTCCGGTTCTGCAGCAGTAGCCTAGGAAGTTAGGTACTGCCAGACCTTGACTATCAGTGGCAGAAATGAATAGACAATGTTTGGGGGGCTTTGTGTTTCTACTGTGGGGACCCTGGGCATTTGGCTGCCTTCTGCCTCAAGAAGCGACAAGGGGCATCAGCTACTGAGCCTGCCCCACGAAAGCAGCCTCATCTGTCGGGACATGACCCGAGCCCGACCTACAAGGTATTTTGGATCGGGCTTCCCCCAACAACGAGCAACATCCTTCGGATGCTGCACTGGACCCCCACGGCACGTGATACTGGCGGCATGCTTGATCCTCCCCGGGAAGCCACAGGGGATTCCGGTATATGCTTTGGTAGATTCTGGGGCCACCACAAACATTATGGATGCAGCATTTGTGGCCAAATGGGCTGTTCCCCATGCCTCTGTTAATAGAGACTATTGATGGCTGAGTGCTCCTGTCTGGGCCAATTACGGCTGCCACGCAACCGTTGGGTATGACCATCAGCTTGCATGAGAAGGCTATTCAGTTTTACATGACCTTTGACCTGCATTTCCCCATGGTCTTGGGATTGGCGTGGCTCCAGACGCATGATCTGCAGATTTATTGGTCCCAGAACTTGGTCATCTTTCCAAGTTTACAGTGTGTGGATCACACTCATCAAGTCTGTGCCGGCCAGATGGTGAGTCCCCCAGGGGTCTCCCTGCCCTCCGAACTGGTGACTTACGCTGATATGTTCAGTGAGACTGAGGCAGATCAATTGCCCCCACACAAGCTATATGACTGCCCCATCAACTTAGTTCCTGACACGCCTCTCCCAGTGGGGCGTTTGTATTCCATGTCGGACCCCGAGTTGGTCCCATTGCGGGACTTCCTGGACAAAAATTTGGTTCAGGGTTTTATTTGGCCCTCGTCTTCGCCAGTGTCTGCACCAGTGCTCTTTGTAAAAAAGAAGTCCAGAGAATTGAGGCTTTGCTGTGACTATCAAAAATAAAACACCATTATGGTACGTAATCAATACCTGCTGCCCCTCATCCCCGAACTTCTGGAACAGCTCCAGGAGGCAAAAATCTTCATGAAATTGGACTTGAGAGGAGCCTACAATCTTGCTAGGATTCGGTCGGGTGATGAGCAGAAGTCAGCATTTTGGCACCCGGTACGGATACTTCAAGTATACAGTGATGCCGTTTGGGCTGACCAGCGCCCTTGCAGTTTTTTAACACTTCATGAACGACATATTCCGGGATCTGTTAGATCAGTTTGTTTTGATCTATTTGGATGACATTCTGATCTACTCCCCTTCACGGGAGACGCATCATCAGCATCTCCGTCAAGTTCTGCAACAGCTCCGAGATCATCGTTTGTACGCCAAACTGGAGAAATGTCAATTCTACCAAATGACCATTGACTTTCTGGGTCATCGCATTTCTCCTGAGGGCATCCCCAGGGAGCCGAGCAAAGTCGAGTCTCTGTGAAGTTGACCATCCCCAAGTTGCATTGAAGATGTCCAGTGACTCTTTGGGTTCGCCAACTACTACAGAACTTTCATCCCCAGTTTTGCTTCCATGACTGTATCCCTTACTCGGCTCCTGCAGAAAAAGACCCAGTTTCATTGGGGTACCTTGGAGCAACAAGCTTTCCAGGCCTTAATGGAAGCCTTTATGAAGGAACCCATCTTGACACACCCTGACCCGCAACAACTGTTTGTCATGGAAGTGGATGGGTCCAATATTTCCATTGGAGCTGTGTTACTCCAGGCTAATGTGCCTGGCGGTGCCCTTTTCCCTTGCGCGGGAACTTAATCTGGCCAAGCGCAACTATATCATCTGGAGAAGGAGCTACTGGCCATCAAAGTGGAGGCATCATTTGGAAGGGGCTTGGCATCAAATTGAAGTATGGACAGACCACAAGAATCTGGAAAGTTTATAGACCGCCCGGAAATAGAACCAACAATAGATTCAGTGGTCTCTCTTCTTTGCTAGGTTCAATTTCTGTGTTATCTATATACCAAGTGGTCACAACCAAAGAGCGGATGCTCTGTCAAGGAAACCAGAATATTCCCTTATGGAAGATAAGCTTCTGCCCAGGATAGTTCTCCCCGTAGAGTCTTTCTCTACAGTTTGGGAGCCAATAGATATACGGGCTCGAATTTGGGAGGCACAACAGCATGATGCATGGGTGGCTTAATGAAGGCAGGAGTTGGGGCCAGACTCCCCATGGACCATCATGTATGGACTCCTAAAATATTGTGATCGGTTCTATGTTCCAGGAGGGCCGCTCAGAGGGCTCATTCTCACCCAATGTCATGATAATCCTGCAGAGGGGCATTTTGGTATGTTCAAGACACTGAACCTGGTCTCCCATACATTCTGGTGGCCCAACGTATGACACAACGTCCAGCCCTATGTCACATCTTGTATACATGTAGGCAGACCAAGTCAGCGACGGGGGCCCCACCAGGTCTACTTCAGCCCTTGCCGATGCCCGAGAGACCCTGGGGAGCAGTGTCCATGGACTTCTTGATGAACTTGTCCCCGTCTTCTGGCTTCACAACAGTGTTTGTGGTGGTGGACATGCTGACCAAGATGGTGCATTTCATTCCTTGCCATGGCTTGCCGTCAGCCCACACCGCCATTCGCATGTTCATCCTGCAGGTTTTCCGGCTGCATGGCCTCCCTGATAGGATCATGTCAGATGGAGGGGCTCAATTTACGGCCCGTTTCTGGAAGGGGTTGAAGGCCCTAGATGTAAAAATCTGCCTATTGTTGGCGCATCATCCACAAACAGATGTCAGGACCAAGAAAGTAATTGGAATTCTAGAACAACACCTGCGCTGTTTCGTGAATCAGCAACAGGATAATTGGGTGGACTATCTTGTGGTAGCCAAGTTCGTGTTTAACAACTCACAGCACACCTCCATGCATATGACATCATTCCTGGCCAATGTAGGGTATTATCCCCAGCTTTTTTCCTTCTCGCAGCTCGACTCGCCAGTTCCCGCAGCTAACGAATATCTGACCAAGTTACAGGCTATCCATCAATTGGTGTGATGACAATTAGATAAGGCCAAGGCAGATTACAAGAATGTCGCTGATCGGTCGAGGCGAGATAATGCCTAGATTAATGGTGGGAGATCAGGTGTGGCTGTCAACCAGGAACCTGCTGTCAAGTTGATCTGCCAAGAAACTAGACCACTGGTACCAAGGACCGTTCCCTATTGAAGCCATCATTAACCCGGTCGCTTATCGGTTAACCTTGCCATGGTTGTTACAAGTACATCTGGTCTTTTACCAGTCTCTCTTGGTCCCAGAATAACTGGCATGTCCACCCCGCCGATCAGAACATCCCCCACTAGAACAACATGACGGAGACAGCAATCCCAAATATGAGGTTGCCAGTATTCGAGACTCCCATTGACTGAAAGGCCGATTTCAGTATTTGATTGAGTGGAAGGGCTATAGACTGGAGGAGTTCATCTGGGAGGATGCGACCACCATGCATGCTCCTGCCTTATTGACGGTGTTCCACAATAGTTCCCTTCACGACAGCATCCAGCTCATCAGACCCAGGGGAAGGATCCTGCGGTGCGGCATAGTGTTGTGATTCCTCGCTAGCCAGTGGATCTGGCAGCTGAGTCTGAGGACCCAGATGAGGAGGAGGGACCTGGAATGACATTAGGGTCAGAGGAAGGCTCTGAGGAGCTCCAAGATTTACGGTCAAACAAAGAGCCTGGCCCCTTTAATCACTCTTGGGCTGAGACACAGCTGTGGTGGGAGCCTGAGTTGGACAGTGATGAGGAACAGCTGGGGCAAATCCCAGATGGATGAATGCATAGACAGGAGAAGAGAGTGGGACAGAGGAATGCAATGGGGCGGCTCCAAAGGCAAAGGAGAAGGCATTAGAAAGCCACGCCTTGGCTGAATTATAAAAGGGGAAGGTGTGCTAAGGATCAAGTTTCTGTGGATTGTGTTTGTTTGCCTTGGACATTGACTCAGGTCTGTGAAAATAAAAGGGATTGTTTTTTTCTTGTGGTTCCTGCCTGTTTCTTGGAACAGGGGTTTCTCCTTGTGAATACAATAAGGACTCATGTAGGTTGGGACAGAACAGCAGTCCAGCTTGGGAAGGGAGTGAAGGAAAGGTTGCCAGGCAAGAAACTGCCTGGGGGGGGGGGCACTGAACCAAGTGGGTGTGGGGTATATGGGGCAGCTCCACCACTCTTCCGCCTGCCTTGCCTTGTGGTGGTGTCAATGCGACATGCACTCTCCTGCCCCATTGTGGCAGCGAGGTGAGACTGAGTGGGCAGGGTCCTAACTAGGGTTTATTTTGGGGATAGGGCTTATATTAGTCCGGCCCTCCAAAATCAGGGTAGATCTTATTTTTGGGGTAGGTCTTATTTTCGGGGAAACATAGTAAGTTTCAATAATTTTTTGTACCCTATATCAGTGCTTTTCAACTTTTTCACAGATTGTACCACTTTTAAGATATGGTAATATTCGAGTACCACCAGTCGCCTAGCAAAGTGTCAAAAACTTGATGACCAAAAAAAGGGAAAAAGTGATAAAGTACAGGTAGTCCTCAACTTACAACAGTTTGCTTAGTGACTGTTTGAAGTTGCAACAGCACTGAAAAAAGTGACTTATGACCATTTTTCACATTTATGACGATTGCAGCATCCCCAGGTTCACATGATTTACATTTGGATGCTTGGCAACTGATCCTTATTTATGATGGTCATAATGTTTCAGGGTCATATGATCCCCTTTTGCAACCTTCTGACAAGCAAAGTCAATGGAGAAATCAGATACATTTAATAATCTTGTTATTAATTTAACAACTGCAGTGATTCACTTAACAAATGTGGCAAGAAAAGTCATTAAATGGGACAACTCAATTAACAAATTTCTCACTTAGCAACATAAATTTTGGATTCAATTGTTATCGTAGTTTGAGAACTATCTGTACCCCCACTTATCACACTTTTAATGGAAAACTTGTGCCTATTTCTCTGACATCAATTTTTGCACTTTTCTATCCCCTTCTCTCCCTCTGCTTGTCTCAAAGAAGCTTCTCCTCTTTCCATCTCTCTTTCTCTGTCCCCTTCTTTTCCTGTTGACTTTTTTTCTCTCCCTTTTCCACCAAAACCTCCTCTTTTTATATCCTCTCCTCTCTCCCCCTCCTCTTTCTTTTCTCTTTGTTGCAGCTCCAGCTGATTCCTTTCCCCAAGGCTGTGCGCTGCTCCATCTTCTTTCCCTGTCTTTTTTTCCTCTTTCCCGCCAAAACTTCCTTTTATATCCTCTCCTATTTCCCTTCTCTTCAGTGCAGTTCCAACTGACTCCTCCTCCCCAAGGCTGCACGCTGCTCCATCTCTCTTTCTCTGTTCCCTTCTCTGTTCCCTGTCTTTTTTTATCTCCCTCTTTCACCAAAACCTCTTCCTTTTATATCCTCTCCTCTCTCCCCCCACCTCCTTTTCTTTTCGGTGCAACTCCAACTGACTCCTCTCCTCAAGGCTACACTCTGCTCCCAGAAAGGCCAATCAGCTGGAGTTGTGCCCATTCAGCTGGAGCCCCATGCTGATCTTGGGCACTCAGCAGAGTCCTGGCAACACTGCAGCTCCCGTTGACTCTCCCACAGGCCTGTGCGGCACTGCCACCACTTTAGTTCATCCCCCCGCTACACTTTTACTTTTTTTATAGTGCTTTTCAACCCATTGTACGTGTATCATCTGCCAGGTGCTGAAGTACCACCAGTGGTATGCATATCATGGGTTGAAAAGCACTGCCCTACATCACAATATGCTAATGTTGAAAAGTATAGTAGTATGGGCGTATTCAGTTGTATTGTCCTTATTTAATTGTTTTTATAGAGTATTTTTCTCTATCAAACAAATCCTCTGGAAAGAATAGCTTTGATTCAGATTTCAAATTCAGATATGCAACTATTCATATCTAATATAAACATCTAACATGAAGTGTTATATGTTATCTTATCTCTTACCAGCTGACTTAGAACACATACACTTTTCTGTACTGTTTCTCGAGTAATGTCTGCTTGTCGTACTTTCAATGCCTTAAAGGAAGAAAAACTAAAATTAAAATCTTTTCTTTATTTATTTACATTTAAAAGCAAACAATGTTCCACCAAAATATGACATTTATTTACTAACTTTAATGATTTAGAAAAAAATTAGTTCAATAGACTAGCAATTTGACTGAAAGAAAGATCCATTTTACTGAAAAACAAAGACTATAATAGAGAAACATTAAAGCATAAATTAGAAAAAGTCACATCTCAGGAAACCACCATGTGACTTGTTTGGCGTTAATGTTATGCAAACCCACTGGTGTCTTGTGTTTGTCATTTCTTTGTTCATTTTATTTTCTATAAAATAAATCTATTTGAGAAGGTATTATTAATTTGGAACAATTAAAATACTTAACCACTTCCTATATAGTCTATAGAATTCTGTTCCTAAATTAAAACTATTCAAATTATCATGTCCATACTTTGAATATAAATGACAAATGCAACTACAGTTGAAAACTAAAATGATTTTATACATTACTAATTGTATTTATTTCTAATATGACAAGGATATCAAATAGCTTACATAATAAATGAAGTTGAAATTTTCAGAAATTAGGAATATATTTGGGTGATTTCCAGGGAAAACAAGGTGAACTTAAGATGGCTATATGAAAGCAGAGCCAAAAACCGGGTATGTCATATGGCTCAAAATAGCAATGGAGACTTTTAAAGAATACTAAATTTGCAAACCGAACTTTCTAATCACTTGTGGAAATTGCTCAGTAACTACTTCTAAGCTATTAGTGACCTTTGGAATGACAAGTTTAAAAATCCTGCTATGAATCTGGGTGAATCCTCAATAAAGAAAAATTTAATTATAAATTTAATAATTTAAAGAATCTGAAATAAACAGTGAAAAGCTAAATAAAAAATTGATCTTAGAAGCTATCAATGGATAAAGGTCCAGATAAAATTGAAATGCTGAAACTTTTACAATAAGACTTTGGAATTAATTATAAAATACAAACAGTTTCTCATGGGAAATAAGATCCTGGTTTGGTTTTATGAGATATAACATAGATAAGCAATGTTGTACTTTGAAAAATTGGACCCCAGAGGGGACTAAATATTTTAGGTAAAGATATATATAACTGTAAGATGATGCAAAGCATTATGACAATAAAAATATGAAGGAGATTTCTGAAGAATGGAATCAGAAAATAGTAGCCACAATATCCACAATGTCAATAATAATGGCTGCTTCTATAGACAGACTATGTCCAAAAGATGTTACTGAAGAAAACTCAGATGTAGAACAAATTTTATTTGACAAGATAGAGGTGACTTCAAAAGTGGATTTACAACTGCCAGATCAAGAGATAGATTTATAAAAGTATGTTTCATTGGATCTGTAAATGAAACTGAGTGAAAATTTAAAATTTAAAAGAGAACTACAAATGACAAATCAAGAGAGTGATCTGGATAATTTGTTTCCTATTTTATTTACAAAAGAGGCCTGTTAAAAGTCTTGAAGAACTTTGTGATATGGGACAAAGAAGAAAATAAATCTCAAGAAAATATTTCAATGAACTAAAAATTAAGACAGTGAGAAATAAAAGGAAGGAATATAGAGTCAGTTTATTTAATCAAGTTTAAAACAAGATATGTTGTTACTTTTATGGACTTTCTGCTGATATCAGGACTGAAAAGATGATGTTTTATAGGTTTATTTATTAATAAGAATTAGGATATGGGATGAGGAGATAAATATTTATAACTTTAGAGAAGATGAATAGTTACTAAATGTGTTTACACATGTGATGAATTAACTTGTGGTAAGATGGGCGGCCAATAAATTTTACAAATAAATAAATAAATGTAGATTGCAATTCACTTTACTCTTTCTTTATGATATTCATTTTTTTTCTTTTTTCCTTGCACTATGTACTATTTCACGCTATCCTATTTTTTTTGTTAAAGTTTGGTTTGTATTAATATTTATTACTATCATCACAGTTCTTAAAAAAATTACATCAAAGTAGGAATATATTTGCAGGTTCCTAAATCTGATGATTTTGAAGATAAGATAGCAGAAAAAAAATACTTCCAGCACTTTCTAAAGTATTTCTAAAAGCGTGTAATCATTATTCAAACTTCTTATAACCTATGGATAAAAGTTATTGGCTTTTATCCCACATAGGCTAATCTCAGCATTTTTGTGATTATGTGACGCTGGACATCTAATGCTACAATAAATAATAAGTCACACATTATGCATTTATAAATCTTTAATGAGATTTTTAAGCTAAGTTCAATTTCTTCCTTGTTAGAAAAAGACAAATTAAATGTCTTAATGCAAGCCAATCTTTTAGTTACTTGTACATGTTTGCAGGAAGCCCCAAATGATCAGATACTGCTGATAAATCTGAATTCTGAAAAATACTGGTTTAGCATTTAAACAACCATGCAGATGTTCAATATCAACTGAACATGTAAAAACAAGTATATAGTATTACAGTCCTCATCTTAAAACTGGTCTTTTAACAACCAGTTGAATTTACAGCAGATTTTAAAAAGCTACTTATGACTCATTGTTGAAATTATGACTACTCCCTCCCCAGTTACATGATCCTATCTCAGTTAAATAGCAACTAGCTTGCATTTATGGCCAATTGTAATATTCAACAGTCAGGTGACTACAATTTATGACTTTTTACCATTTTTGGGCAAATGATTGGAAAATCCTAGGATTTGCTTAATAGCCTCATGATTTGTTTAACACCATAGTGACTCACTTTACAACAATTGTAAAAACTTATAAAATTGAGTCTGGTTACATACTATATAGCAGGGCTTTTCAACTTTTCACCCATTGTACCTCTTTTAGGATATGGCAACATCTGAGTACCACTAGTTGCCTAGCAAGGTGTCAAAAACTTGATAACCAAAAAAAGTGATAAAGTACAGGTAGTCCTCGATTTACAACAGTTCACTTAGTGACTGTTCGAAGATACAATAGCACTGAAAAAAGTGCCCCCAAGCCACAGCCGAGCAAGACACCTGCCCGCCCGCCCGGCGGTGCTCTTCTTCCTGTCCGAGGTTTTCACTGTTGTGAGCATTTCTGTTGAGGATTGGTAGCAGGGATGGGGTGGGGTGGGTGTTTGGTTTTTATTCCCCCCGTCTGCTGGGTGGTTGCAGCAGGTTTTGGTCACTTCACATGACCCTGGGACACTGTGACCGTCATAAATATGAATCAGTTGCCAAGCATTTGAATGTAAATCACAAGACCCTGGAGATGATGCAACATTCCAGCTGATCTTCTTCTGGGCTCAGCAGAAGCACCAGGATCAATGCTGAGCTCCAGCTGGAGCCTGGTGCTGATCCTGGTACTTCCACTGAGCCTTGACAGCCCCGAAGCGCTGATCAGCTGGAAAGCAGCACTGATCCTGGTGCTTCCGCTGAGCCCTGACAGACCTGCAACTCCAGCCATCTCTCACTCAGGCTTGTGTGGTGCTGCCACCGGTTCAGCTCATTCCCCTCTCCCACTACCACTTTTCTAGGATGGTTGCGTACCACCTGCCAGGTGCCAATGTACCACAGGTAGTACCCGTACCACTGGTTGAAAAGCCCTGCTATATAGCACTTCAATAGGGACTTATGACTAAAATTCCAGGCTCCACTGTGGTTGTAAGTTTCACTACAAATGTTCCCCTAACTTCAGAATAATTACCTTAGCTTCAATTTGCCTATAACAAGAGACCCCATATATTGTGCTTCGATCACCACTTCTTGGTGGCAAATGGAAAAACACTGTGTCTAAAAAGGAAAAGAAGAGATTGTTTTGCTATCTCTTATAAGCATCACATTGAGATGTTAAGTTTCTTCAGTACTATAATTTTCCAAATAATCCTAAGGACCAAATTTCAAATTAATATAACATAATCAGGGAAAAATGCAACGTTTTGGTTTGATAATAGAAATGTGCATATAACTATTCTGAACAGCCCAAGCAGTTTTGCTATTCTAAAAAAGTTGTGATTTGAATCATACTGAAATAGTTTGTTTGTTTGGAGTTTTTTGATGGTGGTAAAGAGCATTCCAGGAAAGAGGATTCATCCTGTTAAGAGTTTCTATATCTGCAGCATTATTCATTCAGGTGAGCTGCTTCTAAAGAATTGTCTGGTTAGGTTGAATCAATATACAAAAGTTCAGCATCTCCAATGTTTTTGACACTCAGATTCCCTTAAGGCTACTCATTCATGATCCTACTGAAAAGAGTAGAAAGTTTCTACTTTTTTTCCAATAGGTTGCTATCTAAATTATAATTATGCATTAACTTCACATATTACAAAGGCATTAATATGGTCTGTAGATTTTCATTTAGCATGATTTGTGAATCCAGCTATTGTGATTTGTAAACCACAATTAATTGTTTAGAGTAATGTACGAACCCAATCAATATTGAATTAGGGTAGGGTTAGCTATGGTATCAATTTAGATAACCAATAACAAAGTATTTGACCATAGTATATGTTAAACATATACTATCAAATCTGACATTTTAAAACTTGCTTTCAAGATTCTAATTCCAAATTTGAGACAAAATAATCTTAAGGTATATATAATACATGAAACATTAAAGTATCTAGGTATTTCTCAAGGCTTGTGGTCCTGCATAAAAAGCTTTTCCAGCTATTTCCATATACATCCAAATGTCTAAGTTGCTTTCTTTCTTTCTGCAAATTGCAACACTCCTGGTTCATCTGCTTTACACAGCCTTTCAAGACAGTTAGAGAGGTATATGCTATTTGATACAAAGTGGGCAAAAGTGCTTCAAATCCAATGACATACCTTCTCTGACCCTGTCAGCAGTTTCTTAAAGGAATCAGGCTGTTTCACAATAGCCAGGGAAATGCATATTTTGCTGAATCTGCATAATTACTGTGCAAAATTTGAAAGAATGCACAGAAAGATACAGAATTTTAAGATACAGAGAGTACCCAGGCCTGATCCAAAGCACCTTTGCTTCTTTCAGATTGAAATACTGCATATTTTTAGTAGACAGCATATTTTGCTATTGGCTATTTTCACAGCTTAAACTAATTTTAAACTAATTTTCTTTATTATATTTCAAGCTGCCCCTTTATGCAATGAATTACTATCCATAATATTAACAAAATATATTAAGCAAAGAGGGTGAGTGGCAGCCTCACATGGAGATGAACTGCCTCTCAACAACCAAGGAATTGGCTCTGAAAGCTTATCTTTTTTCTTTTACTAAAACTATGCACTAATTATTGGAATATAGTAGAATAATTGGTAACCATGGACTGATTTTGGTCTGTGTTATTTAGGAATTGTTGATATTATACAAGTCTTGTACATGGTTAGCCTAAAGCACATTCATTCTGCTTTGCAGAACCATTGCAAACCATAAACACCAGATATATAAATGTATTTTAAAAAAAAAATACTGAAGCCCAAATCTGTTTTACTTCATATTACTTGAATTACAGTTCTAAAAACTTTATTCTTCCACCTGCAAGAGGCATTTTAAAATGTTTATATGGTCACCTTTCTTCTTCTAGCAAAGGAAGGGAGGTTTTCTTTGTGGCTGGAAAACACACAGTATGATTTTTTTAAAGATTTGCTTGCCAGCTAGCTATATATAAAAAAAGTCTAGTTTGGCCCAGCTATGTCGAGAGCATCCAATTCTTTGCCCAGTATCAGATTCCAGATTATTTAGGCATTTGTAGGAAAGGAGCATTATGCGGAATCTTACCTTCTTGATAGTTGTGAGCACCATCTGGCAATGCAAGAAAAGGCAGGTATTTCCATTCCTCCGGCAAACTATTACTATTATGACTTTCTCCAGGAATTAGAGAAGGATAGGAGAACTCAATCTGAAAGCAGATATATATACTCAGTCATCAGGTATCCAAATATAAAACTGATAAATAATTCTACTATTACTTCGAGCAAGAGGTGTAGAGGCAAGGGAATCCCAAGCAGCATTTGAAATTTAGCAAAAAATTCAGATTAAAAAAGTAAGGCTGAATTCTATTCCAAATAGAGAATAAATAAACAGATCAGCAGGTTAATAAACCCAACCAACCTGATCTTTCATAAGAGCCTAAAGATCTTGCTCTGCCAGTTAGCTTGGGGCCCTAGTGCAGGCGGTTGATCGATTAATAACAGATCCCACCTGCCTCCAGTCCTGCCCCCCACTGTAATTGTATCATAGCTTTTGCTGATATTAATTTATTTACTTTGGCATATATATCTTTTATGACTGTAAGCCACCCGGAGTTATCTTGTGGAAAATGGATGGCCAATAAATTTTATAAATACATAATTATTCAAATTCAATAGAGTAAATTATCTCTCAAAAATAAAAAAATGTGGAACTTCCGGTGGATCTGCGCGCGCGATGGCGGCTACTTTGTAGCTGTCCTCCTGGGTAAGTGTTTGAATCGCTATGAACAGCAGACACCAGCTGTTCAGCGGTTCAAAAACCCCCTCCCGGGCAAAGGGGGGGGTAGAGAGGTGTCTGAATAGTGGTAGAGCCTCTTATGCACCCCCAAAGTTTTTTTTGGGGGGGGTGAAAAGAGTGCTCCCACGGAGTTCAGACTGTCTCCGCTTCCCAGCTGCTTTTGTCCCTAGGGACAAAACAAGCCGCTGCAACCACCTCCGCGATTAAAGTTAACTGGTGAGTTTTTTTTAGAAGCGGACAGAGCTGAGTAGAGGATTTAGTTTTTGCTTTCTTGGATTTTATTTGGATTTTAAGTTCAAAGATTTGTTTTTACTTTTATATTCCCTCTTTTTATTTTTATTTTTCCTTTGTTGAAAGGGAAAGTAAAATGGCGATCGGCAAGCCTTTCGGTGGTTTTTTTTTTTTCGGAAGGTAGAATGGCGACCGGCAGGCTTTTTGGGGTTTCTTTTTTCCCTTTCCCTTTTTTTTGTTTTTTTTTAATGATTGGAATGGAGTGTTAGTATTATTATTTTTGTACTTTTTTGGTTTGTTTTTTGTACTGTTTGTATTTTTAAAAAAATGGAATGGATTTTTTCTATTTAATTATTCTTTTTTCTTTCTCTCTTTTCTTTTTTTTGAACTCCTTTTTTATTATAATGATCTCTCCTTGAAGGATTTTTTTTTTGATTGTATGGAGTTAACTTCTTTTTTTCCTTTGTTTAATTTTTGCAATTTCTAAGAAGGAGTAAAGATTTTTTTAAGATGGCTCCAAAGCGTCCAGTAATCCCTACAGCTTCTAAAGTGGCTTCTTCTTCGGTGTCATCATCAGCGCAACAACCTAAATTAATAGCCTCATCTTCTTCTTTGCCACAGTCAACAATGGTGAAGGATTTGCAAGATATGATGGGAGATGTTATACTTCAAATTAGGGGAGAAATGAAAGAGATTCTAGAGGAAAACAATAAGACTTTGAGGCAAGAGATAGTTTTGGCTTTAAAAGGAGTTGCCTCTGTTCTTGAAAAGTTGAATTCTCGCGTAGAAGAAGTAGTAGAAAAAGTGGAATTGATGGAGGAAAAATTTGAAAGTATGGAAAAAGAGATGAAAAATTTTCAAGATGAGATTCTTATGCTTCAATATAAACAAATGGAATATGCTTTAAGAATCAGAGGTTTGGGTGAGTCTGTGCAAGGAGATCTGAGAGAGATGGTTGCAAAGGACTTTGCTGTGATTTTGAATAGAGAAAAAGAGGAAATACTTAGTGAAATTGAACAGACATTTAGAGTTAATTCTGTGGTGGCAGAGCAAAAGAATTTGCCAAGAGATGTGGTAATTTAATTTGGGAAAAGATCCCTGCGCAATGAAATTATACAAGCTTTTTATAAGAAGAGGTTTCAAATTGCTTCACAAAATGTTATAATTTTAAAGGAGATCCCATCTAAAATTTTAAGAAGAAAGGAGTTTGCTTTTTTAGCGGACGAAATTAAAAAGAGACAAATTTTGTTTAGATGGGATGTTCCGACTGGAATGGTGGTGAATTACCTGGGGATACGTTATAGTCTTAATACTGTTTCTAAAGCAAAAGACTTTTATACTTCGGTCCTGGGGGTATGTTCATCGCCACCTATCACGTTTAAAGCTTTGGAAGATAAAAAGGCAGAATTGCAATCTGAAGTGCTTACACTTATGAAAATTGGGAAACTTCAGTTTGAGGGGCCTCAACAAGTAGAGATGGAGGAGCAGAAGACAACCGGTGTAACATACAATTGTAAAGAAAAGGATCAACAGAAGAAGGTCAAGGAAGTTTCACAAGTATTGGTTCCTGAATCTGCGGGAGAAGTAGGATTTATAAACTCTTTGGAGCAACCTTTAAGGGCAGAATTGCAGTGTGAAGAGCCTATATTAATTAAAAATGGGAAATTTCAGTTTGAGGGGCCTCAACAAGTCGAGATGAAAGAGCAGAGGACAACTTGTGCAACATATAAACGTAAAGAGAAAGACCAACAGAAGAAGGAGGTTAAGGAAGCCTCACAAGTATTGGTTCCTGAGTTTGTGGGAGAACCAGGACTTACAAATTTTTTGGAGCTACCTTTAAGGGCAGATTTTAAAGTACTTCTTTCGAGATTTATGGACAAGAGAGACTGATAAGGATTGTGTTTACAGTGGATGGAACTGGCTATTGGAGAGAAGATTATGGAGATCGAATGAAAATTTTAGATAAGAAGTTTAAGTTTAAGTATTTAGTTTAAGTATTTAGAAGATTATTAAGATTGCGGGAGAACTAAGATTTACAAACTTTTTTGGAATTACCTTTAAGAGGTTTATGGATAAGAGAAGGAATATGTTTACTGTGGAGGAATTTGTTATTGGTAAAGATTTAAACAGGTATAAGGGAATTTTAATGTTTTAAGTTATGTTTATGGGATCTATTATTATTATTATTTTTAGAGAAGCTAATTTGTTTAATTAAACGTATTTAGATTTGTTTAGGATTTATATGTTTTTTAAGTTTTTTCTTTTCTTGATAGGAGAGAAGATTATGGAGATTGAACGAAAATTTTAGATAAGAAGTTTAAATTTAAGTATTTAGTTTAACTATTCAAAAGAGTATCCAGTCTTAACGGTATAATGAATGTTTATATGCTTATTTTTGTGCTCTAGAGTAAAGAAAGAGGGAGATTAGATCTTATATTGTAGGTATGGATATTTAAAGAAAGTAATGTTTAAATTTGTGTTTTGGGGATTCTATATAGAATGATGGATAATAATATAAGTACAATACTAGAAAATGTTTAAAGTATATTATAATGTGTGTTTAATGTTTGCAACTATTATGTTTTAGAGAAGATAATTTGTTTAATTTAAGGTATTTAGATTTCTTTAGGATTTATATGTGTTTTAAGTTTTTTTCTATTTTTTATTTTCTTTGAAAATTTTAATTAAGCCTGTACTCAGCTCTGGGAAGGTTGAGGGAGGGTATGGGAAGTTTGGGGAAGATGGTGGAGGGTACGGGAGGGTGGGGATTTGGGGAAGGATTTGTTTTGTAAAATTTAAAATTTTCAATAAAAAAAATAAAAATAAAAAAATGTATCATTTGCCTAACACCATCTATGCAGCATCATCTATAATGATGAGATATTCTCCCCTTAGTTTCATTCTTCCAAGAATGCAAAACACAGCTGAACAAATATGATACAAAGCTCCACATCTTTGCTCACATCACCACTTCCTCCCATAAGAATGCTAAATAAATCCTGATCAATGCTTGCAATTCCACACAATAATAGTGGAACATAGACATATCTAAAAGATATATTTTACCCAGTATATTGAAACAATTACAGGCAAGCACTGCACCTTTTTAAGGTGTGTCCAAAATCCCAGTTCTGTAAGATCTTACATACAATTTGTGCACATATACAAATATCTTTATTAGATTCCAATTCAGCATGTGTCTGTTCAAAAACTTCAGTAAAAAATGCCTCCATTTAAATAGTAAACATTATAAAGTTAATTAAGATGAAATTAAATCTGCCGGGCTTCCGGTTTGCAATCGATTGTTTAGAATGATTAATCCAATGATTCAGCACTTCAACAAATATATACCATATATTCCGGCGTATAAGACGACTGGGCGTATAAGACAACCTCCAACTTTTGAGAAGATTTTCATGGTTTAGAAAGTCGTCTTATACGCCGGAAAATACAGTAATTTAAAAGGTATATACTGACCACCAGACATGCAATTGTATTATAGCTATTATCTTTTTGGAATTTTGAAATATACTTTTTCACCATAGTTTCAATTTCTAATGCAATTAATGCTTTTTAGGAAAAAGGAAACAAGGTAACCACAAAATCCCAGTTAAAAAAAATTAATATTTTCTAAAAATGGGTGACTCTTTGACACAGGTTTTATATAGTTTTTTTAATATCATCTTGTGTTGCCCCTTTTATTTGCATTTAATCTTAAAAGTGACAGGGGAAAAAAACCTGCATGCTGAATTGGAACTATATTTAATGGTTCTACCACAGCAGTGCCTATTGCTAAAGAAAAAACTTGCCTTCAGAAGTTGTGGGTACTCCACAACTTCTGCCCCTGTCCTGCCGCAGGGAGGACAGGAAGAGCCAGGCGTCTCACCCCCCCCCCCGCAGCTCCTTCGTGGGATTCCCCGTCAGGCAGAAGAGCAGTGGCGGCCTGGATGCCTGGATTCCTCGGGGGGGGGGTGGAAGTGTTTCCAGGACAACAGAAGCCTTGTTTTATTGGCATATTGGTGTGGGACACTTAAACTCTCATCTGGACAGCCAATCCCCATGCCAAGGGGTGAGGAGCTTGCTTTGATGTACTTGTAAGTGGTCGAGGGGGGGCTGCCACCCCTGCCCCCACAATAACAGTTAATAACAATCCGATCAGGCTTCGCTGCATGGCTGCACCCCCTCCCCCCATGTACTTTGTTCTGGTGCCTTTGGAGAGAGAGAGAAGGGAGAGAAAACGCGCGGCGCGTGTGTGTTTATGTGTGTGTGTGAGAGAGGGAGGGCTCCCCTTTTTGTAAGTTTGCTTGCTCCATCTGTGAGGCTCTCCGTTCCCACACTTTTGCTGGCCAGCACCTCCTCCTCTTCCTCTTCCCTTTCCCTCCTGGCTCGCCTTCCTGTGTCCGAGATGGCCTACGCGTTGCCGTGTGAATTGGCAGCCCGGATGCTCGTTTAAATGTCCCCTGCAGCCAAATAGCCCTGGAAAATGCTGGGGAGAAAGAGGCGGAGCTAGAAGGCCTGCCTGGGGTGAGCTGCGGTAAGGGCATGTAAAGGCAGCCGGAAGAAGTGGGCACGTAAAGGCAGCCGGATTACCTCGTCCCATTCCGCCCTGGGAAATATTTCTGTTTCTGCTGAAAACCGCCGCTCTGCGGCGCAAAGGGCTGCTGCGCTTAAAATGAAATAATTTCTGGGGTTGTTCTTGTTCCTCTAATGGCCCCACTTGCAAAATTCTTGATTGCAAATCCAATTCTTATAACTGAACCGTTTGTGGCCAACCTCTTTGGTTTCTTTTGGTACCTGTATTTTCCGGCGTATAAGACGACTGGGCGTATAAGACGACCCCCAACTTTTGAGAAGATTTTCATGGTTTAGAAAATCATCTTATATGCCGGAAAATACAGTAGCTAGCATACTTTATTTAAATCAGAAACAAAACATTGCTTCCCTATTTTTCTTCAACAAATGTTTGGCAAAAGAACAATCTAGGTGAATTAGTCCAAGGGTCACCTTAATCTTACATTTACTAATTTTGCAAGTGCCCAGATGCTTCCAGGATTCTCATAAACAGAAAATATCACATTTCTCTACCTTACAACTGCCCTCCATCTAGAGCACACATTCCCAACCCCCGCCCCATTTGGAACCAGGCTGCACAAGTGGTGGTGGAGCATGTATGCCCAGCTCCACTTAAGTTGGGGAACAAGTGGGCACACGTGCACAGCTCCACTTGTGCAAACTTTGGGTGCTTGCACTCAAAGCTCCATTTGTGGAAGCGGTGGTTGCTTGCGCCTGCCACTCGCACAAATGGAGCTGTGCGTGTGAACACGCATGCCTGCCACTCATACAGAACCATTCCCTCCCCTGCCGTGCTAATCCACCAAACCAGAAAGGTTGCAGATTGCTGATCTAGAACAGGGCTTTTCAACCTTTTCACCCGTTGTACCACTTTTAGGATATAGCAATATCCGAGTACCACCAGTTACCTAGCAAGGTGTCAAAAACTTGATGACCAAAAAAAAAAGAAAAAGAAAAAGAAAAAAGAGATAAAGTACAGGTAGTCCTCGACTTACAACAGTTCGCTTAGTGACTGTCTGAAGTTACAACAGCACTGAAAATAGTGCCCCCAAGCCACAGCCGAGCAAGACACCTGCCTGCCCACCCAGCGGTGCTCTTCCTCCTGTCTGAGGTTTTCATTGTTGTGAGCATTTCTGTTGAGGATTGGCAGCAGGGGTGGGGTGGGGTGTGTTTGGTTTTTATTCCCCCCATCTGCTGGGTGGTTGCAGCAGGTTTTGGTCACTTCACATGACCCTGGGACACTGTGACCGTCATAAATATGAATCAGTTGCCAAGCATCTGAATGTAAATCACAAGACCCTGGAGATGCTGCAACATTCCAGCTGATCGACGCTTCTTCTGGGCTCAGCAGAAGCGCCAGGATCAACGCCGTACCACTGATTGAAAAGCCCTGATCTAGAAGAAACACTAAATTTCCAAGACAATAATTCTTGACACAGTTGTGCCTACAATAAATTTATCAAATTCACTGTAAAGCCATCCATATTATTTGCTACTATTCACTTCTTAGATAATGTCCTAAAAATGCCTTTTCTGTTTTAAATCTTCTTCCAAACCTCTTCAGTGAATGGATCTTGATTCTAATGTTTAAAAAAAAGGGAGAAAACTATCGTGGCATGCCTAATTTTGTTTCATAAATCTTGATTATTTCAACTGCCTTTTTCAAAGCTAAAGAGTTTAAAACATGCTTTTAACTAATTAATCATTCTGATTACTCTCTTGTTCACTTTCAATTCTATTTTATTCTTTATTAAATGAGAATCATGTAAATAAGAACTGCAGTTAATATTCCAGATGTGGTTGTACCACAAATCTGCACAAATTACAAATTATAAAGCTGACAGTTTTATTTTCAATCCCTTTCTTAATTATTTCCATAATGGAATCTGCCTCTTTTCACGGCTGTTGAAGTGGAAGATTGTGTCAATTTCTGTTGCTAAGCAAGACAGATGTTAAGTGAGTTTTGCCCCATTTTACGGCTTTTCTTGGCACAGCTGTTTAAGGAATCGCTGAACTGATTAAGTTAGTAACATGGCTTGTTAAGTGAATCTGACTTCCCCATAGATTTTGCTTGTCAGGTCTCAAAAAAAGTCTGAATTTTGATCACGTGACCATAGGGAAGCAGCAATGGTCGAAAGTGTGAAAAAGTCATATGCCACTTTTTTCAGTGCTGTTGTAACTTTGAACAGTCACTAAATGAACTGCTGTAAGTTAAAGACTACCTGTATCTAGTTCTTCTTTTATAAGCACATTTTGAAACAAAAAAACTTGACTGAAGTCACCTATTTTTATGTTCTACAAATAAAGATGAACCTTAGAGGAATGCTATCTCTGCATCATGCTAAAGTTTTATTAAAATATTTTAATTAAAACTATGTAAAAACAAAAGAAAACCAAATGGTACTTGTAAGATACTGATGTTAGTAGATGTATTCATAAAAGAGAATTTCCAAAGAAAAAAATAAGTTTCCACAGTGGGAATAGCATCATAGCACCCCTCAAAGTAATACATTTGTCAGAATAACTGCTTGGGTATCATATCCCTGCACTTATTCTTCAATTATTGTATATTCTAATCTACAGAATACTATTTCTTCTTCAAGTAGCAGTATCAGAATTTGCCCTATAGTGGGTTTTTAGACTGTTGGGATTATTTATACAATTGATTTAATCAAACAAAGCTAATAATTTCAGTAACAGGAGATCCTCAGTCACTAAATTATATATGCTTTTTTTGTAGTTCATGTGGAATAATAGCCCTTTATTTTATACCTTTTCTCCTAAAAATGCCCTGACATAACTGTACAGTATATAAAGGCAACATACACTTATTTAATGCCATTCTGACAAGTTTGTACCTTTAGATTTTGTGTCATTTCAGTATAATACATATAATTAGGTTCCATTCCATTCGACTTCTTACTAAGAATATTTACAAATTAAGAACACAATTGTAAAGTAATTAAGATTACAATCTAGGTATCTTTCCCCATACAGTTGGATTTGCATGGAATAGATGTTCTGTAAGGATAAAAGTAGAATATAAATACTAAGTGACCTGAAGCCTCACCGTTTATGGCCATCTGAATAAGTAAATTATATATTCCTACAGTGAAGCTATATATGGTTGTGCACACAAATACATATTTTCTCTCACACTTAGAGAAATGTGCATATGTAATTTTTTGATGATACGCCGTCATATAATATGCGTACAGTAATACAGAAATAGGAAGATGGGTTGTTTAATACTAAAGAACACTCCATAAAGCTTAATACTATAATTCTGAATGACCACTATTAGCATAGTGGTTGACACTAACGGGAATTGCAGTCTCAGTCACCGAAAAGGTTAGGGTTAGGGTTTAGCTTTAGAAAGGCTGGGCAAATGGAAATAAATGAAAAGATTTCTATACTTAAGAAGATGAGTGACAGGAAAACTGGGATGTCCAGGCACTAGAAGAGATGTAATACAAGCGGAAGAAGCACGAAAGAGCGAGAGGATCAGTCAAGGAAGCCAGTCGAGCTGGCAGCCGCTCACCTGGCAGCCCTTCTTGTGATGGAAGCCGACCACCACGATATGTAGCACTGGACCTCTAGGGCAGCTGCCAGTTCGAGGATAAAGATCGAGATTCCCTTTGGCCCTTCGCTCCATCGGGGAGCCCATACCGTGGCCGCCCCTGCAGCAGGAGGCCGTTTACTGCCGGGCCAGCAGCGCTTCCTTTTGCCGACAGCGTGAAACTCCTTGCTCGTCAGAAGTTGCAGTTTGGCTATCACTGAGCATGCTCCCGGATTCCGAGCACGCTCAGTAGCGCCTGTAGAAGTAGCGTCGCTTCTCAACTCATCCAGACTGGTCTCGGGTAGCAACAGAAGACGAAGAAGGAACGGGCGGTGGACCGCTCGGTTAGACTTTCGTGGACTAGAGGGTGAAAAATAACTCACAAGCGGGCGGGGAGATATTCAAAAGAAGGGCTTAAGCTACAAGGATTAATTCCAGAGGGGTGGGTTATTTTGAGATATAGACGCGCTAAAATGAGCCTTGACTATAGGAATATAATGACTGCCTGAAAAAAGAAGTTATTACAGGAAGGAATTTCTTTACCCTGTTACTTCAGGTTGGTTCCTCTTGGCAACCATCGAGCAGTGCTTTGTTCTTAAAGGGGCAGAAATTAACTGCCCATTCTACCCTGAATAGGACACCTTGTAAGATTCAACAATGTGCATTCGTTCACATTCACAGTGCTATATTGTAGTAGGGTGTCTGCTTAGATTTCCCAACGTAGCTTAGATTTCAGTCTAATAATATGAATGAAATACCGACAACTAGCTTGCATACTATATAATTAGGAAAATAATCCAATATATTATCAAATAACCTTACATCAATTATCAAAAAGTAAGCAAATAATTTATTAGTAATCATAGTACGTATTTAAGTAAAAAAACTACAAAAAAAGTTACTTGAAAAAGGTGCAGGCTTAGTCTAAACTATCTCTTTAAAAAATAGTATCAAACCATATTGTATCAGAAGCCAATCTTAGGACAAACAGATTGCTATATACTTCCAATATTTATCAGTAACATAATACAATTAGGATTACTCAACTATTTGTTTATATTTTACTAGTTTCCACAACTGCTGAGTCACCTTGTAGGGGAGTTGGGTGGTATAGAAATTTAATACATAAATATTGGTCCAATTTTAAATAAATGAAAAAGTACTGCTAGCCTTTAAGAAAACAACTGTGAATAGCACATAAATATTGAATATTAGTAACCAAGATTATTTATATATCAAAATATTGGTTAGTCTGAGAAAACCTATGTGGTTGCTAGGAGTTGGCCAACTTAATGTGCTTGTTCATGGTTAATTCAACTATGATTTCTTTAGTGAACCAAATTTCTTTGTTAAAACTCTGAACCATAAAACATTCTTACAAGCTGGATTTGTTCAACATTTTAGGCTAAAATATGATTGGTAAATTTGCAGTGTGTAACTGAGCCATGGAAAGAAAATATTTTTAACAAATTATACATTTCTACATCCAGTAATGTATATAGGTAGCTGTTTTAAGGAAAATTGCTGTGTCTGTAAAAGAATTCTTCCATATATTAGGATATTTATGTCCATACCATTTAGATCAGTGATTCTCAACCTGTGGGTTGGGACCCCATTTGGGGTCGAATGACCATTTCACGGGGGTCACCAAACAACGCAGCCCGCCTTTTTTCCCCTTTTCCTTAGCTGTGCTACTCCCTTTTATTCTATTGGCTTTTGAAAGCCAATAGAATAGACTCTCTTGAATAGAGTCTAATTCTATTGGCTTTCAAAAGCCAATAGGAATTGTCCAGGCTGTCTCTGCCCTGCTGAGCCCGCCAAAAGTCCCATTCTGCAAACGGTGCTGCACCAGTTGAGTAGTCCTCGACTTACGACTGGTTGGAGGTCGCAGCATTAAAAAGGTTGAGAACCATTGATTTAGATGTATATGACTTCATTGTAGCTTTAATGTTTTGGGAATGAATCATAATTCAGGCTACATCAGATGATGATTAATATAAATTCCATTAATCTCTTAAATTCATTTGTACTACTTGTGAAAATCCATTGTGCTGTGCATTGATGCAGGAGCAACAACTACATTTTTTTCTGAGTCAGTATTTCCTGAGTTCTTTATTTCAGCATTTCTGTTTCTGTTGAAAATTAGGAAGGATTGCTGTTGAAAATGATTATTTCATTTATGCAGATAAGAGCAATTCTAAAAAATAGTTTTGAAGATGGGAACTTGGAATTAGTGGCTGTAACTTGAGAGAAATTATTTTGGGACAAATCTTTTAGAGGACTTTTTGCTGCTCCTTAAATTTGTTAAAGTGCTAAGAGAATTTAATACAAATACTTTTTCATTGGTTTCCTTTAATACAGTCTTTTCCTCTTGCTTCTCATAAGGCAAAATGACGGAGCTGGAATATTTGGTATTTGTCAGATGAAAAATAAGCACAATTATTATTATATGAAAGAACAAAATCTGATAGGTGGAACAAATTTATTCTACTCTTATTAAATCTGGAAGTTAATTAGACTATTTTTGTAACGAAAAACTGCAAACATTTTCAGCATTTTTCTTTTAAAGCATTTCTGTTCTGAAGTAAAAAAACAATTGGCTTTCAAATACCGGTACAGTCATACAATTTAAGTGACAAATAAAAAGAGAGCGTCGCCAGGAAGAAGAGAAAAAAAAAAGCTTAAAAAACCCATGTGAGGTAGAAATAGATTAGGCAGAATGATGCAAATGCTTCAAAAAGAAGATGCTAGAATGGCAGTGGTTGAACTTGGGCATATTAACAATTCCTTTAGGCCAAGTATTACCCACTGTTGAAAAAAACTGCAAAATAGTCTAACTCCGCAAAACTTTCTTTTAAGCCAAAATTTACATAGAATGACATTCTATTTGACGTTGGCTGCCGACTACATTAACTACAGCTAGCGAGCAGTAGTCACTATTTTGGCATTAGAATATGTCTCGAAATTACACTTCTACAGCGTAGTGTATAATGCAAACGTTACGTGCCAGATTTCCCCTCCCTCCCCCATAACTTTTAGATTTGGATCAGTAGCCATTGTCTATCACAGCTCGAGTATACCGACAGCACGCAAATAGCGTGTTGGGCGGTCGTCTAATTTAACTCAATATGTAAACCCTCTATTATTATTTCCCAAATATCAGGCATAAATCAATTACTCATTCCCGCGATGTAAGTTTCAGCCATGTTTAAAGCTTGGTATCTTTTATTTATGCAATGGACATTGATAGCCGGTCAAACAGCTTCTCGCGAAGATTCCTATATCTTTTCCTCGTTCTGGAAGTTCGATTATTCCTTCTCGACTTTTAGTGTCTGCTTCACTGTCTCCCGCTTCGCGGTGCCGGCCAATAGCCTCGCAGCAACGCCAATAACTGGAAGCGGATTTGATTCGCTAGATCTTCTAGAAGAATGGCGGCCAACGCGACTACCAACCCGTCCCAGCTTTTGCCGCTTGGTAATGAAAGCCATGCTCGCGTGTGAGGGTAGCGCGGCGCGGCGCGCAAATCGGAAGGTTTGAGTGGGGTTTCCGGCACAGAGTGTAGAAAAAATCCAGCCTGTGATGCGGGATCGAAAGTAGAGGAGCTCTGTTTTTCAAGGGCGTAGATCCCCTTAACAATCGGATCCAGCCTTCCGTATCTCCCGCCAATGGGCCTAATGTTGACTGTTGTCGCACTAATGCGTCAGGAGGTCTCCCAAATTGGGGAAATCTGCTGAAACTGAAGTTGTTGCTAAGCAAGTGGTAGAACAAAGGGGGAAATATGTGGATTATGTCAGGCAGCTGATAGAATGGGATTTTTGCACTTTCCTATCAGTGAAAGGAAAGTGCAAAACTGCACAGATAAAAAGAATCTCCCATTCTATTTTCATTCTAAGGTTTGAGGCAGATGAGGCTCAAGAGTCTCTAGCATGAGAGGACAATATCTATTATAGGTCACAGTCAATTGCTTTTCACCCCATAGGTACAGTATAAAGTTTTGAAAGCAAGTTTTGTATTTAAGAATACTTAATGGGGAGCAATTTATAAATATAAGATACTACATTTTATATTATAAATGTATACAATAAAGTATTGTAAAATATAATAAAAAGCATCCAATTGGATGGGATACAAGTTTACTATTATTCCTAAACTTGTGCTTGAAGTTTATAACTTTGTTCCTTCTCAGTAAGCTGCTTATATAGGATGTCAGACAGAAATTTGCAAAATCTCTTGATATTCAGTACAGGTAGTCCTCGACTTACAATAGTTCATTTAGTGACTATTCAAAATTACAACATTACTGAAAAAAGTGACTTATGACCATTTTTCACACATAACTGTTGCAGCATCCCCATGGTCACATGATCAAAATTCAGATGCTTGACAACTGACATATTTATGACAGTTGCAGTATTCTGAGATCAAGTGAACATCTTGCAACCTTTAATAAGCAAAGTCAATGGGGAACCCAGACTCACTTAACAACCATGTTACTAACAATTGCAATGATTCACTTAACAACTATGGCAAGAAAGGTAAAATGGGATAAAACTCACTGTCTCACTTAGCAACATAATTTTTGTGGTTATTGTTGTAAGTTGACTACTTATAACATGACTTCTGTGAGGAAAACAAGATTTGAAAGAATAATTGAAGCAAGAGTGATAATTGTGTTGTTCAGTTTAATGGAATACAATAGTTTAACATGTTGTATCTGAGTAGATTTTAAGATGAGTAGGGTGGATAAGGAAAATAGACTGTTATAACAGTGTACCATTCTAAATCAGGAATTGGGACAGAAAGCTGGATTGGTTAGGACTAATGTCACAACTCCATTCTGAAATTGTACTGTCTTGATTGATCTAGCTCCTAAAAGGGACCCACATTAAACAGCCTCAAAAATTTTGAAGGATATTTTTCCTGTGACTCATTTTTGGCAATCCTTTGTCTTTTTCTATTGGAAAAAAACAGTGCAACTGAGGTTCTAGGTAGCTGATGCCTGAAGCTCTGTTTTTTTGATAGCCAGCATTTTGCAACTTTTGCTTTTCTCAAAAGGGAAACAAAGAGTAAAACACTATAAATGCACTGCTTCAATATACAAGGGCAATTCAGAAATAAACCTCCATTTGGTTATCAATGACAAACATTCGCATATACAGAACTTTTATTATACGCATTAGAAAAGTACAACATTACATTACTTTTTGTCATAATTACCATTCAAATTGAG